TTACCTGATTGCAATGATCATTCAGGGTCTAGTATTAGTGTCCTTTTCTGAGAGAAGTGGCCATTGCAAAGAATACTGTACCTGAAAATGATATTCCTGTCATTAATCATTCTCTTAGCATTCATGTTTTTGTGTATACTTGTTTAATATCTATCATCCCTCCCACTAGACAATGGTAAATTGTGGTGTAGAGTTGGGAGATACCCATATAATGAGTGTCTGGGTGTTATGGTTAATTTCAGAGTTTGGCAGTAGAAGGTTTTTATCTTGATTATTGGGTCACAGTTTCTTGCTTCTTTTGCAACTCATAATTTTATGGTAGTCTGTATATTTTAATTAAAAGAACTGGAGACTGAAGTATGATTTTTGTTTTGCTATTCTGAGTACTGGAACCCTTTCACAGGCTTGGTGGTTAGCATATGTGTTTTTTTTTTAAAGAGAGAGTGAGAGAGAGAGTGAGAGAGAGAGAATTTTAATATTTATTTTTTAGTTATCGGCAGACACAACATCTTTGTTGGTATGTGGTGCTGAGGATCGAACCCGGGCCGCACGCATGCCAGGTGAGCGCGCTACCGCTTGAGCCACATCCCCAGCCCCATATGTGTTTTTTTAATATTTTATTTTTTTTAGTCGTAGTTGGACACAATGCTTTTATTCCATTCGTTTATTTTTTTATGTGGTGCTGAGGATCAAACCCAGAGCCCTGTGCGTATACTAGGCGAGCACTCTACTGCTGAGCCACAATCCCAGTCCAGCATATATGATTTTTAATGATTCTTTTAGAGACTGCACTGTACTCTTTTTTTTAGAGAGAGAGAGAGAGAGAGAGAGAGAGAGAATTTTAATATTTATTTTTTAGTTTTTGGAGGACAACAACATCTTTGTATGTGGTGCTGAGGATCAAACCCAGGCCTCACACATGCCAGGTGAGCGTGCTACTGCTTGAGCCACATCCCCAGCCCAAGCACTGTACTCTTAACTAGATTTAGTTCACCTGTGATTAGCCCAACCCCCAACCTCTTGTCCCTTTGCTACCTTTTCAGTCTTGTCAATATTTGAGCTATTTCTGATATCTTTGGATTCAGTTCTTGCAGGGCCTGCAGTCCAGGTGCTGTGGTGGTGCCTACGATGACTTTCTGATTTTGAGCATCTCCTTCCCTGTGGTTTTCTTGGCAAAATGCAGGGGGTGAATATGGGGAAACAGCATTGTTAGGCCAAGTGATTTGTTTTTGCTTAGGGATGCTTCAGATGGTGTCCCATGCTGTTGTCTAAAGATGGGATAATTTTTTCCTTGTCCTTGCAAAATCTCTTTCTATCAAAGGCTCCCTCTTCCAGTCATAAGTACCCAGAATGACAAGCAAGTATGGAAACTTTTGTAGCACTGGAATTTAGTACTTCAAGTCTTCCTTCCTTCTCCTTGGTGTGATTGTTGTATTGTCTGAGTTTTTATTGTTACCACAGGAGTGAAGGCATTTCATATCTCCTATATCCTAATTGGAAGGAATCTTTTATAAGGTTTTTGGGAGTGATCCAAGACAAAATTTGTTCTAGAAAGGAGACTGATCTAGTGAGACATCTTACTTGTTAGTCTCAGGACTGGCTTGGAAGAAGGTTTATTGGAAGTGTGGTTCCTGTGGTATGGACTTCCTCTTATGGACACACAGTATAAGAAAAGGTGGACAGGAAGACAGGATGGTAAGTGGCAAATCAATGTTCTGGCAGACCTGCAGCTCACCCTAATTCTGTGAGGTGAGCAAAGTCAAGCCTACTTTTCAGATGAAGAGGTGAGGCACTGAAAGGGAAAGGGACCTGCTCAAAATTCACATGGGTAGTAAATGGCATAAAAATAACCAAGATCTAGCATTAGGTAATTCCAAATAAAGTGTTCTGGTTTTATTCTGTTCATTTTGTTACATAAATAATAGGTGAGTATTTACATAGTCTTGTGAAAAGAAAAAGAAACACTTGAAGCGGTCATTCCTCTTAACTCTAGTTTCTGCTGCCACTCATATTCCAGAAGTAACCACTTTTGTCAGTTTGATGTATGTCAGTTCAGACAATTTGCTATGCACTTAACATGCAGTTAAAAGTGTCATACTGTAGGGTTTTTAAAATATAGGACCATATAGGAAGTATTTTGTTATTATTCTTTTTCACTTAGCAATCAATAGTTGGAGATCTTTCCACATTGGTACATTTAGTTCTGCTCAGTTTGTCATTCATTTAATAAACATCTATTGAGCATCTACTGTGTGGCAGATCCAGTTTGCACTGGCACACAGTAATAAATAGAGTAGACCAAAAAAATAATCTCATCCTCTTGGAGCTTACCTTCTGAAATGAGGAGAGATGTAAAATTATTAAAATAGGCTAGGGTGATAGGGAGGGCTGGTGGGCAGGGGAGGTTGTAATTTTAAGTTGGGTGCTTAGAGAAGGCCTTATTTATTATAAAGTGACATGGAGAGAAGATCAGAAAACAGCAAGGAACATGACATGTAAATATATGGGGAAAGAATAGTCCAGGTAGAGGGATGAGTATGTGGAATAGTAAGGAGGCTTGTGCAGCTGAGGCAGAGTAGGTGATGGGAAAGTGGATGGTAAGAGAGGTGAGAAATAAGACTGGAGGAAATAACCTGGGAGCCAGATCTTGTAAAGCCTTGTAAGCCATTGGAAAAAAAAAAATGGTGTGTGTTCTAAGATAGGAGCCACTAGAAAGTTTTGAGTAGAGAAGTGACCTTACCTGACATATAGTGGAGAGGATCAGTCACTTCTCTGTTGAGATTAGATTGTAGAGAGGTAAGGGTGGAAGCAGGAAACAATGGTGGCTTGGACCAGGGTGGTAATTGTGGGCATCATGAGAAGTGGACCAGTTTGAGAGATGGTTTGAAATAAAAGCCAACTGTGTCTGCTGATTGGATATAGGGTGTTAGGGAAAAATCAAACATGGCTCTAAAGTTTTTTGATCTGAATAAAAGGAAAAATGGACTGCCTGCTAAACCAGGTGGAGAAGGCTGTGAGAAGAGCAGGTTTGGTAGGATGATTGTTTGATTTTGTACATGTTAAGTTGAAGGTGTTAGATCTGCAGGGGAGATGCTGAGAAGGCATTTTTGTATGTAAAGTCTGGAGTTTAGGGGAGAGGTGTGGGCTGGAGATAGAAAACTGGAAGTCATCAGAATATAGATGGTTTGAAAAATCATGGCACTGGATTATATCACCAAGGGATCTGGTATAGTTAGAAAAGGTCCAAAGGTTGTACCTGGGAATACTCCAATGTTAAAAGATCAGAGAGATGGGCAGGAACCAAAAAATTGAACTAAGGAAGGAGGAAATTCAGGCAAATGTGGTGTCCTGCAAATCAAATGAAGATAGTCCTAGGAGAAGGGATTATACAGATGTTAACTGCAGAGTTTGATTAAATACACGTACATGAAATGCATATGTAGGTCAATTAGGACAAAGACTGAGAATTGACCAGTGGATTTAGCAGTGATGCAGGCATACTGAATTAGAGAGTGCACCATAAGAGACTCAGATTTGTTTGGTCCAGGATGTACCCCAGACCCCAGGGGTTTTAAAGCTCCCCAGGTGATTCTAATATGCAGCCAAGGTTCAGACCACTGTCATCATTTCTTTCTCTTCATTGTGAAATGACCTTATTGCCAGAAACAGATGTTGCTGACTGATTAAACACAGGAGTCTTTATCTATAGGTTTGTTCTTGGATACCTTGGGATCTGAAAATGATAAGCAGATCTGAAAGCTGATTATTAACTACTAAAGCGATTAGCTGTTTAGCACCTGTCTTAAAAGTGGCTTTTAAGCAGAAAATCTCTTTTTGCTTTTCATTTTTTTAGATGTTTGATTTTTGTTTTGTTTATACTCAAAAAGATCTTTTATTTGAGAAACAAGTGTAAGTTTCAAGTTAATGAAAAATGTTAAGGGAAATCTTGATATAACTTGTCAAAAAAAAAACCTAGAAAACAAAAATAAAACTCACCCTGAACTCACATCAGTAATTAAGCATTTGAGTTATACATTTTTTTGCAGAATCATGTGTATTTCAAATCCCCAAATGAGGTTATACCAGGTATAGAAAATTTGTAACTCATTAGAATTTTAATATTTTCCATATTCTTGACATAGACATTAGAAGTTATTTAAGTGCTTTAGCAAATTTGAATTGGGTTGGTATTGTTAGCACTTCAAAAATTAAATTCCATAGATGGGCTATGCAAAAAGAGATCTAGTTTGCAGGCTCATTAAATTAGATTCTATATGACAAACAGAAGGAAGATCACATATATCAAAACAGGACCAAGGCTGTGGCTGTGGCTCGGAGGTAATGCACTTACCTGGCATGTGTGAGGCACTGGGTTCAATTCTCAGCACCACATATAAATAAGTAAAATAAAGGTCTGTCAACAACTTAAAAAAAAAAAAAACAGGACCAAGGTATAAAATGGAAAAATTCAGAGACAAAATAAAGGCTTAATTATTGCACTTGTGCAAGTATCATTGCATGATTAGTTTTGGTTCTCCTTTACCCCCATTTCTTTGTACTCCATCACTGGATTTTTTATGAATTAGAGGTACACCATTTTACCTATAGATGTTTCAGCATGTCTTTCTAAAAGTCAAGGACACTTTTATAAAATAATCATGATTAAGGTGTCATACCTAAAAATCAACAAAAATTCCTCATTGTCTGTGTTCATACTTTGCTAATTGTTCTGCGGTTTATTACATCACTTTCCTCTTCTCTTATTTTGTCTTACAATTTATTTGTTGAAGATAGGATCAAGTAGGAACTAAGTATACTTATATGAGATTTACTAATATATATCCTAAGCAGTTGCTGCTTTTGAAAATGAAAACTGAAGTATTACTTTGATTCTTTTTTCTATTAAAGCACATCATCCTCACCTCCAATCTTCCAGTAGGATGAGTGCACATATACTCTTGGTCTTGATTGGGCAGTTTGTGATCTTACGTATCTTTCAGGAGAAACAGTGCAGGTGACCGTGAGAAGGCTCTTCAGGTCATGCTCCAGGTTCTGCAGAGCTGTGACCACCCAGCTCCTGACATGTTTTGCCTGTGTGGGAGGATCTACAAGGATATCTTCTTGGATTCAGACTGTAAAGATGCTGCCAGCAGAGACAGTGCCATTGATTGGTAAGTAGCATATGCATCTCTGCACAGAATCACATAGGCCAAGCCTCTAGGTCTTTTCCCTAGGTGCATATGTGTGTCCATCCACTGGCAGTGAAAAAAAACCTTGCAATAAATGTGGTCTGGGAATTTTCAGATTCCCTCTTCTGAGAGAAAGCCATGAAAACAGGGTTTTCTCTTGAAAACACACTTCCTGTAAGTTCACTCATTTATGAGGCAGGAAGAAGACTCAACACACTTCTTCCCTGCTACCCCTTCTAGAATATTTTTTAACCTTTATTTATTTGTTTTTATGTGGTGCTGATGAATGAACCCATTGCCTCACCAAGGCTAGGCAAATGCTTTACCACTGAGCTACAACCCCAACCTTCCTTCCAGAATCTTATCCACCACTGTCAAGGTATTATCTTCCCAGTGAGCAGTTCATTATTTGTTTATTCAACAAATATTTATTGAGGGCTTACATTGTGCCAGAAATTTTCTAAATGGTAGAAATGTGGAATGTGGACACAACAGATGTGAATCCCTGCCTTCAGGCACCTTGCTGTTAAGGGAAGTCAGAAAAGTAAATAAGGCAAAATGTATGGGATGTTAGCTGATGGCAAGGGCTATGGGGGAAAGTTAAGCAGGGAAAAGAAAAGGAGAGTTGAGAGGGTAGTCTGTAATTTTAAATAGGTTGGGTAGTAAGGGTGAGTAAAAACGTGAAGGTGGTGAGGGAGTGGGCTTTGCAGATAACTGTGGAGAAATATGTGAGGTGGAGGGAACGGCACAGGCAAAGACTCCAAGGAGGAAGCATGCTGGACACACTTATGGATGGTGAGGAGTAAGCAGAAGAAGAGTAGCAGGGAAGCTAAAATAGTAAGCTGGGTTCCCATTTTGGTGGCTAAAAATTCAACCCCCAGATCAGGAAATCACTGCTTGTAACTCCTTCAGAAAAGTCAGAGGAGTTTTTTTTCCCCAGCTACTTAAGAAAGTAGTGGTGGTAGGTACAGGAATAAATGCAGCTTAGTTTTTTGATCAGGGCATGTAACCCAAACCCTAAAGTATGGATGTGAAGCATGTGGCCCAGGGAGATAGGTGACTGGTCCAAGGTCATGGGGCTGGCTAAAGATCACAGGGATGGTTAGTGGCAAATCTGGGACTGCAGTCCTCTGATTGGAGTTCAAATCATCTCTGCCCCTGAGTAAGGCCTGTTTTAATTTGGGAAAAGGAAAACTTCTCTGCCCTCTTCTTAATTAACTTGTTTTTTAAATGATTTTTTTTTTTGAGACAGTTTTATAAAGTTGCTGAGGCTGGCCTTGAACTTGCAATCCTCCTCAACCTCCTGAGTAGCTGGGTGCACAGGTGTGCACCACCACACCCTCCTCAGTATAACATTTAATTGTAAAAGAAAATTTTTTAAAGGCAAACTTGGGAGGATATGGAATTTTAAATTCCCAAGATATGTGGGGCAAAAAAGGTTGAAATTTTGTTGACTGGGATAGGAAGGACTTTCTTGGTGTCCTCTGGTTGGTCTGAAGTTACTTGTATTATTCTCTAAAGTTCATAAAGCCATATTTTAACTGATAGAAATAATAATTTCTCCCTTTAAGAAGTAATGTTTTATTGATGAATTCTCTTGTTACCCCTGGTTTATAAGTCCTTGGTATTAACAGTGCCACTTAAAGATATGTTTGTGTTATTACATCATTGATTGAATATTTTTTTTTTCCTGATCATAGTAGTCATACTTGCTCATGGGAAAGAAAGAAACTTTTTATGTATAGAAAAGATTTGGACTATTACAAATAAATCTGCTATGAAAGTTTGTGCAAAGAGAAAAGAATGAAGATAGTTGAAATGGAACTTTTTTCTTTTGTGCTGGGAAAACTGGAAATCCATATGCAACAAAATGAAATTATACCCCTATCTCTCACCATGCACAAAACTCAACTCAAGGGCTGGGGATGTGGCTCAAGCGGTAGCGCGCTCGCCTGGCATGCGTGCGGCCCGGGTTCGATCCTCAGCACCACATACCAACAAAGATGTTGTGTCCGCCGAGAACTAAAAAAAAATAAATATTAAAAAAAAAATTCTCTCTCTCTCTCTCTCTCTCTCTCTCTCTCTCTCCTCTCTCACTCTCTCTTTAAAAAAAAAAAAAAAAAAACTCAAAGTGATCAAGGACCTAGGAATTAAACCAGAGACTCTGCTTCTAATAGAAGAAAAATTAGGCCCTAATCTCCATCATGTTGGATTAGGCCCCAACTTCCTTAATAAGACTCCTATAGTGCAAGAATTAAAACCCAGAATCAATAAATGGGATGGACTCAAACTAAAAAGTTTCTTCTCAGCAAAAGGAACTTAACTTTTTGTATAAAAATAGTATTTCTAGTTTTGTATCTTATTCCTTATTCTAATGTGATAGATCCTTGCCCCTCCTGTCCCTTTTTGTTGCTGCCCTGATAACCATCCAGGATTCTGGCATCATGACTTTATATATGAAAAAAACAATTCCATGTCGTGATAAAGAAAACAAACAAATGGCATACAGAAAAATAGCCTATGATTCATGCTATTTTGATATCACAAAATATTGAATGTACAACTGGAGTCAAACCTTAAAAAGAAGATTTTAACATCAAATTGTGGTCATCTTTTGAGGATAGGATTATAATAGACTTTAAATTTATTTTGTCTGTTTTAAAGTGACTTCCCTGTTTATATGATCATTATGGCTTTCATTACAAAAACATAAGCCTTTTGAAGAAAAATTTCAAACTCCCTAGTGTAAGTTACAGCACTGCTATTACAACATCTTGAAAAAGCCATTGGAGAGCTGCATGTTCATCAAGGTGAAAGAGAGAACCATGAAATAACAAAGTAATAAATATTTTCATAAGAAGGTAGTTTATATCATTATCTACACATTTTTGTTCTAATAGAATAAGATGATATAATAAGAATTTGGTGCTTCTATAATTATAGGTATCGCAAGGGGTTTGAACTGCAGTCATCTCTTTATTCGGGAATTAACCTTGCAGTTTTGCTGATTGTTGCTGGACAACAATTTGAAACTTCCATGGAACTAAGGAAAATAGGTAATGCTGTTTATTATTGCAGATGTTGATGTTTCATTTATACAAGTTTAGCATTAAAAATTATGTTCAAATAACTAGCAATATATTTCAAAAGAAACAATCAGTTACTACCTGATAGCATACCTGAGACACAGAAGCCAAAGTAAAATGTCCACATGTCCTCTGCTCAAAGGCTTGTGTGATATGACCGAAACTAGAAAGATTCTTTTTCATGACTATTAAAAATTCAAATTCTGAAGGTGTTCGACTGAATAGTTTGTTGGGAAGAAAAGGGAGCTTGGAGAAAATGAACAATTACTGGGATGTTGGCCAGTTCTTCACTGTCAGCATGTTGGCCAATGATGTCGGGAAGGCGGTACAAGCAGCAGAGAGGCTCTTCAAGCTGAAACCTCCAGTCTGGTAAGTCCAGTCTGTGCTTTGTCATCACTCTTCTTAATATCTGATTCACTAGAAGGACTCACAGAACTCAGAAGTGCTGTTATACTCAGTTATGGTTTGCTACGATGAGAGAATATAGATTAAATCAGCAACTGCAAAAAGCACATGGGGAGACCATGTACAAGCTTCCAGTGGAATCATATGGACAGTGCTTAATTCTCCCAGCAGCAATAGAGACAGCATGCTTGCAGCATATCCAGCCAGGAAAACTTACTGAGCCTTGATGTACAGGGTTTTTATTGGAGGTGAATCATGTAGGCATTGAATGTTCATATGATTGATCTTAAGACCTCAGTGTCCAACCCCTCCAGTATTCAAACTCATACAGTGAGTGGCCCAAGGCCTCCACCGTGACTCATATTTTTAGCAGAAACTGTGTGACATGGCCCAAGGCTTCAGGGAAACAGGCAGAATACTCCAGAGATTTAGAAGTAATGCCTCAGTATTCAGTCAAAGGCCAGATCTTTTTTTGGAATGAGTAAAATTTGGACAATTGAGGCCTGGTGAGTACCCAAACAAATTGGTTGGAGTCTAGCTGGCTTGCCTTTCTAGGATAGCTCCAGACTTTATCCTCAAAGAGAAAAATAATACTATGATGCTTTTAGCTGAACCATCTCCATTTAGTACTTTGTGAAATATAGTTAATGTTACTGCCTGATAACTATACTTCAAAAAGTTCACTTTGCCTGAAGACAGCAAAGGTATAGGCAGAGTCAAGACTTCATAGCATCAAAATCTACCTGGTCAGAGTCTTAAGTTTTTAAAAAATGAGTTTCAGTTTGGTGATTATTAGTGGTAAAGGGGAGGATGGGGATGGGAGGGAAGAAGGCATACCTATTAGAGGACAACATGAGGGATCCTTGTGGTGATGGAAATCTCTATCTTGACCTTTTGGATGGCAACATTCTGGTTGTGATATTATACTACAGATTTGCAAGATGTTGCCATTGAGGTAAACTGGGTCAAGAATTTATGGGTTCTGTCTGTATTATTTCTTACAACTCCACCTAGATCTAAAATAAAAAGTTTAATTAAAAACAAAAGACAGTGGGTTTGAAAGTTTGCTATTTTGTAATTTTAACTTAAGAACTGCTTGCCTTGGGCTGGGGATGTGGCTCAAGCGGTAGCGCGCTCGCCTGGCATGCGTGCGGCCCGGGTTCGATCCTCAGCACCACATACCAACAAAGATGTTGTGTCCGCCGAGAACTAAAAAATAAATATTAAAAATTCTCTCTCCTCTCTCACTCTCTCTTTAAAAAAAAAAAAAGTCTTAAAAAAAAAAAAAAAAGAACTGCTTGCCTTTTTTTTTTTTTTTACTTGAGGGGATTTCCAGCAATAGCCAGAAAGCTTGATAGCTGAAACACTTTGGCTTTTTGTTGTTTAAGAGTTATAGCATGCTTTCCAGTCACTATGCCTTGGATGCTATGTACTAAAATTGAGGTTTAGGCCAATGTTGGTAAAAAGCCATGTTTTATGATTTTGTTGGACTTACTTATTTTGCCTATTGTTTGGGCTTCTTTTCATTAGTTATATGGTTGCCAAATGATTGTGTATGATATACTGTGACAGAATATGCATTTAAGTAAATAAAGCTTTGGGGTAGATAGTTTTAAAGGGAGTACACGTGAATTCAGTTCTGATTTATGGGGTTTTGTGATTTTTTTTCCCCAGGTATCTGCGATCATTAGTTCAGAACTTGTTATTAATTCGGCGCTTCAAGAAACCCATTATTGAACATTCACCTAGGCAAGAACGGCTCACCTTCTGGTTAGATATAATTTTTGAAGCAACAAATGAAGTTAGTAATGGACTCAGATTTCCAGTAAGTTATGCTAAATTCAATTTTCTTCCTGTCTTCCTTCCTTCCTTCCTTTCTTCCTTTCTTTTCCTGATGCTGGGGATGGAACCCAGGGCCTTGCACATGCTAGGCAAGTTTCCTACCACTGAGCTATGTCCCCAGAACTAAATTCACTTTATAAGATAGACAAAAGAAACTTGGGATTATTATTACCTTAATTATTGAATACTCTAAAGGGAAGAAAACTGTAATTTCATATGTTAGAATAACTACCAATCCTATGCAGAATCATCAAGTGATAGATCAACTCCCTGGGGAAAAGTTGGCTATATCCTCTCAAGTAATGGCTCTCAACTTAGAGTAATTATGTCCTCAAGGGACATTGGCAATGTCTGGAGACATTTTGGGTTGTCACAACTGGGGGAAGAGGTTGTTCTACTGGTCACCAGCATGCTAGAGACCAGGGAGGTTGCTACCCATTCTACAATATACAAGACAGCCCCCACAATAAAAAATATATTTATATCTAGCCCAAACTATCAATAAGGCCAAGGCTGAGAAATCCTGCTCTTAAAAAATATAGTCCTAACAATAGAAACATGGAATTTAAAACTGTCTCCTATTAAGCTTTGGTTTGCCTCCAGTGCCACTGATTAATATTTAAAACTTTATTGAAAAATCAGAATTGCTTTTAGCTTTTGTTTCAATTCTATAGCCATTTATAAAGGTTCATAAGTAAGATATCTAAGTGTCCTGGAAATTGCACTTCAGTAATTATGTTTCATATTTATGCCATGAGATTTTGTGAACATGTTTTTAAGAATTTCATTAAGTGCCTAATAAAAGATGGAGTTGTTGGAAAGGACTGTGATAATTATTTTGTTCCTGCGTAATACATTTTAAAATCTTCTTTTAATTATGAAAATTTCAAATCTGAAAGGTACAAACCCATAATGAAATGGACACTTGTGAAAGCTTTTTGGGGGTTTAGCTGTCTTAAACATATTGCTTTATTTGTTTTGAAGATGTATTCCTACTCCCCGACAACTCTCTCTTTTTCCCTCTCTCCCCACTTCTCCACCTGCCCCCTTTTCTCTCCCTCCTCCTCCTCCTCCTCCTCCTCCTCCTCCTCCCTCTTCTTTACTCTCTTTTTAAAAAAATATTTATTTTTTAGTTGTAGTTGGACACAGTATCTTTATGTGGTACTGAGGATCGAACCCAGGGCCTCGCACGTGCTAGGCGAGCGCTCTACCACTGAGCCACAACCCCAGCCCTCCTTTACTCTCTTAACCAAATAACACCTTACCGATGAAAATGTCACTCACTTTTCATCTCCTTTACAGACTTGGGACCTGCCATCCATTCCTTCTGCTTCTTTATTTCTCTCAAGCTGCAACCTCCTCCCTCTTTCTTTTGTCATCTCCTCAGACAGGTCTTTCTTGGCTGCCATGTCTGAAGAAGTGCCCCTCCCCCTTTGCCTTATTCTCTTTAAGACACTACATGACTTTAGGTTACATAACCTTATCTGGTGCTCTGTCACCCCATTGAATCACAGCCCAGCTATACCCTTGGCTCCTTAAGCCATGCTTAGCATAGTTGGTTTTTGAAGACTATTTGTTGAGTATAAATCTTCCCACTTCCTCTCTGGGTAGGGTCACCTGTTTTAGATTCACATGTCTTATAAGAATCTTCTTATCTTAGGTTCTGGTGATAGAGCCAACCAAAGTCTACCAGCCTTCTTATGTTTCTATCAACAGTGAAGCTGAGGAGAGAACAGTTTCTTTATGGCATGTATCACCCACAGAAATGGTAAGGGAAAAAGTCACAAGCAGTTCTCTTTCTTCTCTATTATTTAGTCAAAGATTCAATTTTCAACTAGGAAGAATTTGTGTGTTACAGTTGGAAAGTATAGTTCACCCATGCTCAACTTCTGAAATATAGAACTGTATGAGAAGGTATAATCACAGATGAAAGAAAAGAAGCAGATTTTTTCCCCTTTTTATTTTTAAATATTTTGTATTAATTGTAATTGGACACAATACCTTTATTTTATTTTTATGTGGTGCTAAGGATCAAACCCAGTGCCCCACACGTGCTAGGTGAGTACTCTACCAATGAGCCACAACCCCAGCCCCTGGATTTTTTCCATTTTTATGTATTGTGTATATGCATATATGGGGGAGCATATGTGGGTTTGTAAGTGGACATATATGTGTTTATATGTAATATTTTCAAATATATGACAAGTACAGGTTTTTAAATAGTGAAATCATAAGGAAGTAGATAGGGCATATGCAGAGAAAATCCCTCCATGTTTCTCAGACCTTGTTTCCATTTCTATCCCCATCCCCACCCCCAGTGATTGAGTGGATAACCCTTATCTTTTCTCTAAACTCACTTATATATGTATAATATATATTATACGAGTTTTATTCACAAAGGCATTTTACATTATAGTGTGATCATATAAGCATATACTTATTGCTTTGTAACTTTTAAACTCATGCAAATATCATGGGAAGTTTTTCAGGTAGCACACACAGATCCATCTTGATTCTTTAAGTGTCATATTCCCTGATTTCATGTCATATTGTATATTTTGTGGTCTAGATGAACCTGTTATTTCACCTCATTCTTACTGATGCATATTTAGGTCCCTGATTTTTAACTCTTCTGATGGTATGCTAGTGTGCATCCTATGCTCATGGAAGCATTTCAGAAGCAGAGATTTCCTAGAATTGGACTTTCTGGACCCAAGGGTACATGTATTTAAAACTTTGATAGTTGCTATCAAATTATACCATTCTACTTTGTACTCGTACCAATAGTACACAAGATTACAGAAATGGGGCTGGGGATGTGGCTCAAGCGGTAGCGCGCTTGCTTGGCATGCGTGCGGCCCGGGTTCGATCCTCAGCACCACATACAAAGATGTTGTGTCCGCCAAAAAGTAAATAAATATTAAAAATTAAAAAAAAATTAAAAAAAAAAAGATTACGGAAATGCTGGCTGGGCTTGATGTTTTGTGGTAATGGTGATATTTTCGTCTCTTTATCTAAAGTACTTCATCAGTTTGTTCTTTCATAAATTTTGCATTTAATAAAGAAACATAGCACCTTTGACAAACACTTTAGATAGATTTATTTGCTGTGCATGTGTTTCCATGGAGCGTGAAAAGACTTCTGCCATTAACTTGGCAAAGAGGATTATTTTTCTTCCTGGAAGCAAGAGTGTGAATGATAATGTTGTAATCAGGTAAAAATAACCAATATCTTCACAAATAACTTGCAACATTAAACAATAAGCAGAGGCTCAATTCATATTAAAAACTCCTTATCAGATCTATTCATGATATCTCAAGTGAGGGCCAATAACCTTGTCCAATATTTAACATTAGACTAATCTTCTTATCATTGAAAATAGTCAGCAGCAATTAGTGAGGACAAGCTAGCATGATGTGCATGTGTTTTTATCCTGCACTCTGTACATTAAATATCTGAGTACAAAAAAAGCATATATTTTTTCAACCTATGATAAAGTGCACATATGGCATTCATACAGATAAATCTCATTTGAAGAATGCACACATCTTTTATTTAATTTGCCTCTTCTTTGGGTATTTTTTCTCTTTTTTATAATATACTAGGGATTGAACCCAGAGGTGGTCTACCACTGAGCTGCATCCCCAGCCCTTTTTTATTTTTTATAAGGTCTTGAGATAGGGTCTTGCTCACTGAGGTGGGCCTCAAACTGGTGATCCTCTTGCCTCAGTCTTTCCTGAGTCACTGGGATTATAGGCATGCACCAGCAAGCCTGGCTTCTTTGGGTATTTTTTTTTTAACCTGTTGAGCCTCCCCAATCCAAAAACCTGAAATGCTCCAAAATCTGAAGCTTTTTTGACGTCTATGTTCAGAAAGTCTCAGGTTTGGGAACATTTCAGATTTCAGATTTTCAGATCAGGGATGCTCAACCAGTAAAAATCTATGCAAATATTCCAAAATATGAAAAACTGCAAAATCTAAAACACTTCTGGTTTCAAACATTTCAAATAAGAGATATTTGGTCTGTGTAACTTACACACAAAAAGTGCATAAATCATAAATGTAAAGCTTGATAGAGTTTTTACAAGGTGATCACACCTCAGTAGCCCCTGCTCTTGCTGTCTTTGTGGAGACCTCTAAGTGCCATCTCCATGAAGCACCCTGTTCTCAGTTCAGAAAATCCTTTACCAGACACCAACCTTGCTTATTTTCTTTGTATCATTGATACCACTCTCATAAAAGAGAATTTCTAAAATAGGGATCTGTAATCTCACTCTTTCTTTATATAGATGTAAAGTACCAGATATTTAGATAAATAGTTCCAGAAAAAAACTGATGCTATTAAAGTAACTCTTTATACTTATAAAGCTGAAATGGTTTTGATTTCATGGAATTCTACCAACTCAGCCCACCTCATTTGAAACCTATAATGGTTGCTGACTCTCAATAGAAATTTCCATTGGTACATATAATATCTCACTGGTTTTAAATGTTTTGCTTTGCATATAGTCTGTAATAAGAAATGGAAAAGAATTATATACATAGCAAATGTTAGTTTTCCTTGACTGATGAAATGTTTTCCATAAGTGCTCCTAGTTGTCTGAGAGAAATATAAATTGCCTTTTTCTCTGAGAGGAATCCTTTGAAACATTTGCCTTCATTTACAATTTTGAAATTGTATGGATTGTGAAAAGCAAGCAGATTTGCCTAGAGTGAGATGACATTTTCTACATAGTGTTGCATTTTTTCTCCTGGTAGGCTATGTATGGATAATAAAAAGAGAACACATATACATATATACAACTCCTTGTACCATTGCTTTTAAATTAGATTAAGTTCCTGGTTTATTAGCCAAGAATTCAGAAATTCACTGGAAGCAGGAAGGCAGTAATATGCTAGTAAATGTTGAACAGCCAACTTTCTGGGGATAAAGGCTAATTTTTAGTGTTTATTGATTCCTGTAGTGTAAATACTACCAGGGATCAATTTTAAGCAACCTCAGGCCAACAAAATGGATTTTCCTGTTTAATATTATTTTTTTACACTTGTGATGTATTCATATTGTAGCCTATGGTTTTTCTGAAACTAGAGTTTAGACATTCCATCCAAGGCTTAACCTTGTACAGTTTAAGGGCAAGAAATGGTAATAAAGTAAGAGGATGAAGTTGGTTGTTTTTTTTTTTTTAAGTGTGCTTTGGAGTTTCTGGGAAGATGGCAGAGTAAAGGAGATGACTTTCCAAGTTGCTCTGTGGCATGAGACCAAGGTAGTAGATGCATAGCTTCTCAACAAGGTGGGCAAAAGAGGGTTATGGGAGCCAACCCACCATGGGCAAAGGAGGGGGACTAGAGGAAGCAGCATTTCAGGTGGTGTGGTGGTGTCTTGGTGTGGAGAAATCTAAGATCAAAAACCCTCCCTGAACTTATCTGAACCAAGGGGTGGCAAACTATGCAGGTCCTTGAGAAGGACTCTTGGGTGTTAAATAAGTGAGTACGGTAGTATCTCAGGGAAAGAGGAGCCAGGAGCCACTTTGGGGCAAGCACGCCCACTGTGACATGAATGGGACTTGGTAGATCAGGAAAAACACACACAGAGAAAGCCATAGTGTCCTGGCAGGTGCCTAACAAGGAACCTCGGCAGTGTCTGGCATAACAGAAGAGAAATTGGCTTGGAGTGGACTGTACCTAGGGGGACTTCAGTTATAAGGGCTAAGGGGTGCCTTTGTGTCTGGTGGCTCATATGCTGGCCTGGAAGTCAGAGTAGGTATGAGGTGAATACACTCAGAAACTACACCTGGGAAAGCTGAACTCCTGGGCAAAAGTGGGTACAATCATGGTCACCCTGATCCATGATTGGATTTCTAGGGAAGTAATCAAGAACTAAACCCATGGAAATAATCAAGCTAAAGTCTAGGCTTAGGGGCAGGTCCACCTAGTCTCTCCAAAGAAGGCATCTTTCAACCTAGCCAGGCAAGACCTGAAGGCCAAGTAGGTCCCAGCACCACCTGCTGGATCTCCCCTCACAGAATGCACTGCAGAAGCAGTACCTTGGGTGTGCACAGAAGGGTCAAAATGCAAACTGACTGTACAACTTACCCATCCCATCTCATGCTGGTAAGAAAGGAAATTGAGTCTTATATCAAACAGCCACTATAACTAGTAACTCAGCCACACAATAACAGGAAGGGGTTAACATCCCCCATACCTTGTTCTTTCTATCAGTACTTTACACAAGAATAATTGATAAGACTATTAAAGATAGATATTGACCACCCATTCCAGTCAAATATTTTGACTACTTCAATGGAGCCTTCTAGTCTACACCAAGATATTTTTTTACATATACATATTCTTAAATTAGTTTTTTTTAATGAATGTGTGTGTATTCCCCAAATGTCAATGCACCCAATTACATGGAAGAAATAAATACTCCATGACATTAAATTCCAAATAGACCCCAACATAATAAATAATACCGGGAGATTTCAAAACAACCTTATCACCAATAGATAGGTCATCAAAACAAAAAAATCAACAAAGATATCTCCAACATAAACAACACTATAAATCAAATAGCCCTAACAGACATCTACAGAATATTCCACCCCAAAACAGCTTAAATTTACCTTCTTCTTAGCTGTACTTGGAACTTTTTTATATAGGCCATGAAGCAAATCTTAGCAAATACAAAAAAAGACTGATATAATCCCATGTATCATATCAGATCATAATGGAATGAAGCTAGAAATCAACAGCAAGCAAAACAATAAAAGCCACATAAATGCATGGAGATTGAAAAATACTCTATTAATTGAAGAATGGATCAAAGAAGAAATGAGAACAGAAATCAAGAAATTCTTAGAAATGAACAAGAACGAAGACATATCAAAGTCTCTGGGACAGTATGAAAGCAGTTCTAACGAAAATTTATAGCACTGAGTATCTACATTAAAAAATTAGAGAGATCCCAAATAAATAAGATAATGTTCCACCTCAAGGCCTTAGAAAAAGAAGAACAAACTAACCCCCAAACCAGTAGAAGACAGGAAATAATTAAGATTTGAGCTGAAATCAATGAAAATGAAAATAAGAAAATGATATACAAGATCAATGTAGCAAAGAGTTGGTTCTTGGAAAAGATAAATAAAGTTGACATAATCATAGCCAAACTAACCAAAAGAAAGAATGAGAAGAAGCAAATCAACAAGATTAGGGATGAAAAAGGAGATATCCCACATATCCCTCTGAAATCCTGAGGATTATCAGATCCTATTTTGAAAATTTATACTCCAATAGACTGGAGAGTCTCTGGAAGACATGGACAAATTTCTTGACACATATGACCTGCCCAAATTGAACAGGAAGATATAGAAATCCAATATAAAGTAATGAAATAGAAACAGCAATTAAAATCTTTCCAAAAAGGAAAAGCCCTGGACCTGATGGCTTCTCAGCTGAGTTCTACTAGACCTTTGTGAAAGACTGGTGTCAATTCTTCTGTAAATTATTCCATGAAGTTGAAGGAGAGGGAATACTCCCAAATACTTTTTATGAAGCTAATATAACCGTGATATCAACCAGACAAGGATGTATCAAGGAAAGAAAATTTCAGACCAATATCCCTGATGAACATATATGCAAAAACCCTAAATAAAATATTAGCAAACCACATTCAAAAACATCACGAAGATAATATACCATGATCAAGTGGGTTTCATTCCAGAGTTGCAAGTTTGGTTCAACATATGCAAATCAATAAGTGTGACTCATCACTTAAACAGAATTAAGAACAAAAAGCATATGATCATCTCAGTAGATACAAAAAAAACCTCTGATAAAATCCAACACCCATTCATGTTAAAAAATGTTGGAGAAACTAGGGATCAAAGGAACTTAACTTCAACATCATAAGGGCCACTTACGACAAACCCAAAGCCAACATCAAACTAAATGGAGAAAAACTAAAAGCATTTGCAAGTAAATCCAGGAACAAGCTAAGGCTGTCCACTTTCACCACTCCTATTCAATATAGTCCTTGAAACATTAGACAGAGCAATCAGGCAAGAAAAGGAAATCAAAGGTATACAAAGAAGAAAAGAAGAAGTCAAAGTATCTCTGTTTTCCAATGATATGATCCTCTATCTAGAAGATCTAAAAAAACTCCACCAGAAGACTTTTAGAGTTTATACATGAATTTAACAAAGTAGCAGGGTACAAGATCAACACCCATTAATCAATTGCTTTTCTATACTCCAACAGTGATTCAGTCAAAGAAGAAATCAGAAAAACCATCCCACTCACAATAACCTTAAAATAAAAGACTTGGGAATTAATCTAACCAATGAGCTAAAAGAGCTCTACAGTGAAAAATCATAGAACACCAAAGAAATAAATAAAAGAAGACCTTAGAAAATGGAAAGATATCTCATGTTCTTGCATGGGCAGAATTAATATTGTCAAAATGGCCATAATACCAAAAGCAATATACAGATTCAATGCAATCCCCATTAAAATACCAACGACATTCTTCACCAAATTAGAAAAAAATCTTAAATTCATTTGGAATAAAAAGAGATCAAGAATAGCCAAAGTAATACTAAGCAAGAAAAGTGAAGCAGGACTTCACTTCACAATATATGATCTGAAATCATACTACAGAGTATGTAATAACAAAAACAGTATGGTATTGGCACCAAAATAGAAATGAAGACCAATGGAATAAAATAGAAGACACAGAGACAAACCCATAAACCTATAGCCATCTGATATTTGACAAGGATGTCAAAAATATGTCTTTGCAGAAAAGACTGCCTTTTAACAAATGGTGCTGGGAAAACTGGATAGCTATATGTAGAAAAATGAAATCAGACCCCTATCTTTCACCCTGCACAAAACTCAAATCAAAATGAAATTAGGCCAGAAACCTTAAAACTGCTAGAAGAAAACATAGGGTCAACACTCCATCATATAGGTGCTGGTGCAGACTTCGTTAACAAGACCCCTCAAAGCACAAGAAAAAAAACAACAATCAATAAGTGGGATGCCATTAAACTAAAAGTTTCTGCACAGCTAAGGAAATGATTAAAAGCATGGAGAGAGAGCCTAGAGAACGGAGAAAGTCTGGCCAGCTACTCCTACAAAAGGAGATTAATATCCAGAATATGCAAAGAACTCAAAAGCCTTACCATGCCCCTCGCAAATAACCCAATCAATAAATGGACAAAGGAACTGAACAGGAACTTCTCAATAGAAGAAACACAAAAGGCCAATAAATACATGAAAAAAAAATTCAACATCTCTATTAATCAGGAAACGCAAATCAAAACTACACTGATTTCTTCTTACTCCAGTCAGAATGGCAATGATCAAGAATAGAAACAACAATATATGCTGGTGAGATTGTGGGGAGAAAAAACACTTGTACATTGTTGGTGGGACTACAGACTAGAATAACCACTCTGGGAAGCAGTTTGAAGATTTCTCAAAAAACTAGGGATGGAACCCTCATATGACCCAACTATCCCACTCCTGGGTATTTTCCCCAAAGATCTAAAATTGGCATGCTATAGTGATACAGCCACATCATTGTTTATAGCAACACAATTCACAATAGCGAATGCATAGTATCAATCCAGATGTCTGTCAATAGATGAATAGATTATGAAATTGCAATCACACACACACACACACACACACACACACACAATGGAGTTCTACTTAGCCACTAAAAAGAACAAAATTATCACATTTACCCATAAATGGATAGAAAGGGAGAATATCATACTAAGTGAAATTAGCCAAACTCAGAAACTCAAAAGGTTTTCTCATATGTGGAAGCTAGAGTGAAATAAAGGAAAGGTGGAGGGAAGGATAAAGTTACAGAATGAACCAATAAAATACAAATTAATAGATGAGCGAAAAGAAGTCTAGCATATAGACTAGAGGAAGAAGAGGAGGAGGGGCAGGACGGGAGGGAAAAGGAAAAGTGGGGGTCATGAACAGAAATTGATTTCTATGTATGAATGAGTTGTTGGGATGAACCCAGCTACTATGTATGACCATAAAGCTCTAATAAAAATAAATAGATAATAAAGTGCACTTTGGAGGTGAGCATGGGTGGTGCATGTCAGCAACTTGGGAAATTGAGGATTGCAAGTTCAAGCCCAGCCTCAGCAATTAAGCAAGGTCCTAAGCAATTTTAGCAAAACCCTGTCTCAAAATAAAAAGTAAAAACAAAGACTGGGGATGTTGCTCAGTGGTGAAACACCCCTGGGTTCAATCCCTGGTACCTATCTCCCAAGAAAGTACATTTTGGTACAGTTTTTCTATTAGTCATGATAGGCCAGATGCTAAAACAAATAGCTCCTAAACCTCAACATCTTGATAAAAGTTTGTCTATGCCTCATGTCATATCTGGGTTGGCAGGGTCCCCCTTCCATCTTGAAGTGGCTGGTGAAAGAGAAAGTAGAGGATTTTTGTGGAGGTTTTTATGCATCACACCTACAAGTAGTACTCTTACTCCTGCTCACATCTCATTGGTCAGAACTCTGCCACATGGCCCCATGTACCTGCAAGGGAGGATGGGAAATGTTGTTTAGCTGTGTGCCCAGGGAGAAAAGGAAATGAAGATTAATGAACACTGAACAATATTTACCATAGTCTTACTTCTCCAAACGTTTTTTGCAAGACACTCAACTTAGATGGATGATTCTCAAACCTGTTTTAGAGTTTGCCTGCTATGTTAATAGAATATGAAAGACCATTTATTATGTATTTATTGTATGCTTATTATTTATATCTCAAATTATTTATTTCAAGTTTGTATTTCACTAAACTGGATTAGAGATACAGATAGATTTTTTTTCACAGCTCTCAAAAGTTTATTTCCCATTTACACAACTATGCAAAGTTGGAGCTGAGTTGGTTCCAAACACAGATAGATTTTTATAATACATTAGAAAATATTTCAGGTGTTCCAAGTTATGCAAAGTATATTGCTCTAAACTCTAACCACTATTGAAAATAAAGTAGTAGAAATGATTGACTATAGTATGAAACTAAAACTGATCTTTTAATTTGGAAAAAACCAAGCTATGGACTTCTGTCTTTGATACTTGCAGAAACAAATCCATGAATGGAATTTTGCAGCCTCTTCAATTAAAGGAATAAGGTAAGAACATAAAAGAAAATGTAACTATTATTTTAATACACATAATAGTGAATGTTTGATGCACTTTAAGGTTACCACTTATTCATGAGTTGTGATGTTCTTATTTTTAACTGAACCCAAAATAAACTATTTTCTATTTTGTTGCCCTGCCTGAGGTCCATAATGTGCTGCTAGTAAAAATCTCTTGGATTATTATAGTGGCTTTTCTCCTATCCAGCAGAAGAAACTCTTGTCTCAAACTTAAATAAGTTATATTCAAGTACTCAGATCAATCCAGGAGTTATTTGCTAATAGCACTTGGGTGGGATCTCCTGGACAGAGCAATGAAACCAGGGATATTGTTATTAGGGAAGGAGTGAGGTAGTGTACTCCAGGGAGAAGTGTGGCTCTTGCTTTTTTATTCAGGAATGGTGACCATTTGTGTTTTTTTCCCAAGCAGCAATAACACACCTCTGCTGCATTTATCACCCTGCCAGCATTTTGAAGGGTGGGAATAGTTCTGAAGTGGATATGAGTTCTAGTCCCTTTGTTGTGTGATGTTGGGAAAACACCCAACCTCTTTAGGTTCCATTTTCTTCACTATTTTTACCAAATCCAAGAACTTGGACTAGAACTTTTTGTCCTCTCTTTGATTCTATGACTACCTCAGGCCACTAAATAAGTCTCCAGTTATCTCTGGTCACACTATAATTCTGTCCTGAGCACATTAGGGCTTCAACTGGAATAATGATTACATCACTTTTGAGGGAGGGAAATAATTTAAATACACAGTAGTACATTTGGATAATATTACCCAGAAAACCCAATGTAACCCAAATATGTTAAAGATTTTCAAAACTATATTACTCAGTAATGAAGCTGTAGAAGAATATGTAGGTGAGGACCTTCTGTTTGTACCTTTTTTTTAGTCACTCTGGACTGATGCTGTTTCAACCCATTATTTGTCATGTCATCTATATCATGAAAAATGGTCTAAGTTTTGTACTCAGTAGGAATTGACTTAGAAGGGACCAGATGAAGTGGCTTTATTTGAAGAGCTAATTGTGGAAGAGAATCTAGCCTGATTCTTCATAGTGCCACCTGGCAGGGTGAGAGCCATTTTGGAGGCTTTGGCCCAATGTGGGTAATGAACTTTCTAACAGTGAGATCTGTCAGCAAATGGAGTGTAGTGACATTCTGTTGCTGGATATGTTCAGGCAAGCTGAATATTATGTTTGAGGTGCTGTGGAGTTGGATCCACACTTGGTTGGAAATGAACCAGAGAATATTTAAAGACCTTTCTTGAACTAAGATGAAATGTTTATTTCTGTTAACCTTGTGTGACCACTAATACTGTGTCCTGATATTTTCCAAGTTTAGAAATTCCTTTGATACCACAGTAAATGACTTTATAAATACCTTGCCTGTCTTTGTGTGTGTGATTCTAAACTCCTAGAGGACAAGGGACGATGGTTTTTACCCTTTTCTGCTCTGCTTAGCACTGAGTATAGAAGAAGTTCTTGATACACATTGGTAAAAGTCAGTTGTAAATGCGAACTCAAACACAAATGAGATAAAGTTCTCTGGTATTTAAATTTCATAGAGAAATAAAAGGCAAAATGTGGGGTTTGTGTTAAAAGATTAATGAATCAGGAATTTGTGAAGTGAAAGAAAATCTGTTACTAGATTTTCTCAAAAGTTTAAAATTGGTGTCACAACTTACATACAAGCATTCTTATGTTTTGCAATTTTACAGCCTATCTAAGTTTGATGAACGGTGTTGTTTTCTTTATGTCCATGATAACTCTGATGACTTTCAAATCTACTTTTCCACTGAAGACCAGTGTAGTAGGTAAGTTATAGCTGACTCAGCTATTTGCAATCTATTGATGGTAAATAATTGTTGAAGGGCCTTTGCTGTGAAGATGTTTGTTTGCTCTATTGTCTTCTTGAAATTTTAATTTACAGAAAATGATCATACTGCTTTGAGATGTAATATACATACCTCACAACCATTTATTTAAAGTGTACAACTCAATTTTTAGTATATTTATAATTTGACAACCACCATCACAATGTAATTTTAGAATTTTTCATCACCCCCAAAAGAAGCCCAGTATGCATTAGCAATCACTCCCCATTTTCTCCCCAACCTCACCCACATAACCCTAGCCCTATGCAACCTTTCTTTCTAACTCTGTGAATTTGCCTGTTTTGGACATTTCATATACATTGAGTCATATAATATATGGTCTTTGGTGACTGACTTGTTCCATTTAGCATAGTGTTTCCAAGGTTCATTGATATTGTAGCATATATCATTACTTTGTTGTTTGTGTCTGAATAATATTTCATTGTATGAATATGCCACATTTTATTTATCTGTTCATCAGTTGACAGGCATTTGGTTTGCTTCCACTTTGGGGCTATTATGAATTTTGCTTCTATGAACATTTCATTTTCAAGTTTTTGTGTGGACATATCAAAATGTTGGATCTTATGGGAATTTTGTGTTTAACCTTTTGAGGAACTGCCAGACTGTTTCCCTGTTAACATTCTCATCAGTAGTGTATGATGGTTCCAATTCCTCCACATCCTTGCCAATGCTTGTTATTGTCTGTGCTTTTGATTATAGCCATTCTGGTGGGTGTGATGTAGAATCTCATTGTGGTTTTAATTTGCATTTATCTAATGACTAGTGATATGAGTATATTTTCTTGTGCTTTTGGACCATTTACATATCTTCTTTGAAGAAATAGCTATTCAAATCATTTGCCCAATTTTTAAAGCTCACTTTTTTTTTTTTTTTAGTTGAAACCAGGGGACAGTTTACCACTGAGCTACATCCCTGGCCCTATTTTTTATTTTTTATTTTGAGACAGGGTCTCACTAAGTTGCTTAGGGTCTCACAAAGTTACTGAGGCTAGCCTTGAACTTGCAATCCTCCTACCTCAGACTCCCAAGTTGCTGGGATTACAGGTGTGTGCCACTACATCTGGCAAAGTTCACGTCTTTTACTTATATGTATGTTTTGCCCAGAATTCCCCAGTGTAACCCTTTATTACATTTATTTTACATTTTCTCTATATGCATATGATGTTTTTTACTGAACTGGTCAGGAGCAAGTTGTAGACATAATGCTGCATTACCTCTAAATACTTCAGCATATTTCCTAAAAAAAAGGGGGGGGGAATGTTTACTTATGTAATTATAGTAGTTACCTAATCATACTGTATAAGATTGATATGGTACTATAATCTAGAAGCCATTTTCAAGTTTTATTTATTGTCTCCCTAATACCTTTTATGGTAAAATAAGACTTTTTCCTGGCCCACATTCTAATCCACAATCATATAACATTTACTTGCCATGTCTGTATACTCTCCTTTCATCTGAAAGAGATTATCATTAGTCTTTGTCTTTTTTAATACTTTCAAAGAGTGCAGGTAATATGTTTGCAGTCCTTTGATTTGAATTTGTTTGCTGTTTGCTTATCAGTATATTCATGTTATGTATTTGGGGCAGGAATACCACAAAAGTAATGCTGTGTCTTTCCCAGTGCCTCATATCAGGGGATACACAATATTTTTGTGTCATTTCTGGTGATGTTAATTCGGGTCAACAAGTAAAAGTGATGTTTGCCATGTTTCTCCAAATTTTGTCTATTTTTAATTGGGCTATTTGTCTCTAAATTATTGAATTTTAAGAGTTTTTTTTATATACAATCCATACAAGTCCCTTTTTAGATATGGTTTGCAAATACTTGATTCCATTCTGTGGATTGTCTTGTTGAAAAACTTGCAGCACAGAAGTTTTTAATTTTGAAGTTCATTTTATCATTTTTTCTTTTGTCAGTTGTACTTTTAGTTCATATTTAGGAATGCTTTGCCTAACACAAGGTGTTCTATGATTTTTGTATTTTCTTCCAAGAGGTTTATAGTTTTAGTTGTTACATTTAGAGATAATCCATTTTAATATAGTGTGAGGTAGGGGACCCAGCTTCATTCTTTTGCTTGTGGATATGTGATTCTCCAAGTACTATTGGTTGAACATACTATTTGTCCTCCATTAAGTGGTCTTGGCACTCTTAGAAAATCAGTTGGCTGTAAATGTTTAATTCTATTCCACTAATCTATGTATCATTCCTTTGGGAAGTACCACACTTTCTTGATTAGTGTAGTTTTGTAGGAAGCTGTAAAATCAGGAAAAATGAGTCCTTCAACTTTATTCTTATTTTTTAAGATTGTTTTGTTATCCTTTTATTAGAAAATGTACCTTTATAACTGTCATTCAGTACTCAGTGCCTTTTTTGTTTTACTTTTTTTTTTTTTTAGATCACACATCTTGATTGATTGATTTTGGATTATTTTTTCTCCTTTATTCCCATTTACTTACATTTTTTTCTTTTTCCATATTTTTGTTGGTTCATTATAATTACATATAAGGGTGGATTCCTTGTTACATATTCATATATGCACATGATGTAACAATATAATTTGGTCAGTATCATTCCCCAGTATTTCTCCTTTCCGTTCCTTCTTCCTTTCCCTGGTTTGTCATTTTAATAATTTTTAATTGGGGTATAATATACAGTAAGTAAAGTGTATAAAGTGCACTTAAGTATAAGTTAGATAAATTTTTACATATATCTACACCCATGTATCCATCTCCCATATCAGTGCCCCAAAAGGTGCCTTGTGCCCCTTTCTAGCCATTAAACCCCCTTCAATGATAAGTATTTTTGATTTCTGTCATCAGTTTTGCCCATTCATGACCTTCAAATAAAGAAAATTATTCAGACTCTTTTTATTTCTCCCTTCTTTCCTTTAATAGCCATGAGATTCAGCCATGATGTATGTATCTGTTCATTCTTTTTATTTCTCATGGTGTTCCATTATGTGAATGTACAACCATTTATTTGTTCTCCTATTGATGAACATTTGGATTATTTCTAGTTGTGGCTCTTATGAATAAAACTTGAATGAATATTCTTACACATGCCTTTTGGTGAAAATATACATTAAATTCTGTTGGGCATATACCTAGGAGTGGATTACTTGGTTTTAGGATAGCTTTATATTTAGCTTTGATTAATTAGTTTTCCAAAATGGTCTCATGAATTTATACTCCCCAAAGTAAGGTATGAGAGTTGCTTAACAACAATTAACAATAAATATAATTCTAAGAATTTTGGTTATTTTGGTGAGTACATAGCATGTGTCTCCTAAGAAGCCTGACTTTGGGTTTCCCCATATTCAAATACTAGAAGAAAAGGTGACATGTTAGTTATAAAAATGAATGTTTTATGGTCTTGCAGAAATTCTCCTGAAGCATGTACTGTTCCTCCTTACCATCTTTTTAAAAAAATATCTTTATTTTATTTATTTATTTTTATGTAGTGCTGAGGATCGAACCCCGGACCTCACACTTGCTAGGCAAGTGCTGTACCACTGAGCCACAACCCCAGCCCCTCCTTACCGTCTTATGAGAGAATTATGAATAAAAATGTTCTACTGGATCAAGATCACTTTTATGCAAATAAACTATTACACAAGTCTAAGTGGCTGATATGGTTCTACAGCATTTGTGAGAAAAACATGGGTAGTAGTTGATCTTAGGCTTAATCTTTGTCAATGAATATTATGGCATTTTCTTCCCTTGTTCAAGATCTTATATCTTATTGAGAATTGGCCTGTCTACAATTTGGAAGGGGTTGATTTTGCTGTCCTTAGCACTGATTAAGTCACCTCTGCAATACTGATTGTAGAACCAAATATTAAAAGAGTAATACAGGGACATATTTGAAGGATGTCCAGTTAGTGGAGAAACTCCCAAATGAGTTGTAGGGGAAACCATAAGAGAATAAAAAGGAAAGTCTTATAGGGATATGATAGAAGTAATGTAGAAAATAATTCTTCTTAAATGTTTTTCTAATTTTATTTTTAACTGATACATAAAAAAATATATTTATTTGTGGGCTACCATGTGATGTTTTGAAAACGTATGCATTTTGTAATGTTCAAATCAGAGTAAATGAATATATCTCCTCAAACAATTATCATTTATTTATGATAAAAACATTCCAAATCCTTTCTTCTAGCTTTAAAGAAAATAAAAGGCTTCATTATTATCTATAGACATCCTACTGTACAGTAGAACACCAGAACTTCTTTCTCCTATCTAACAGTAACTTAGTACCCATAATTAGCTTTCCCTATCCCTCCCTCCCTGCTGCTCTCCCTATCCTCTGGTAATTATCACTCTACCCTCAACTGACATCAATTTGTCAGAGACATCTGCACTATTCACAATAACCAAGAAATGGAAACAACCTAAGTGTCCATACGCTGATAAGTGGCTAAAGATATGTGGTACATATACCCAAAGGGGGTTAACTCTAATCTGTGGAGTACCCACATAAAAGTAGTCTTCAGGTCAATAAAAGGGGAATATTTCTCATTGAGTTCTCAGATTGAGCTGCCTTTGGGAGATAATGGGTTCTCTGTTGCTAGATAATGGCTACTCTGATGCTCAAGCATTAGTTGACCAACCAGTTGGTAGAGGTACTGTACAGAGAGCATTCAAGTATCACATGGGATAACCTATAGAGTACCATGTCAAATCAAGGAGTAGATTGATTGTTCCATGACTTATAAATAAGTTTGTATATAAGTACAGCTTAATATAATGAGACTAAGTTAAACAATAGTGGTCCTTACTGGCAGCATCTTTGTGACATTTGCTGTTCTAGGTTTTGCTTTTTGGTGAAAGAGATGCTAACCAATGCAGCCGGCAGTACAGTGGAGCTGGAAGGAGAGGCTGATGGAGACACCTTAGAGGTGAGTCACAGAAGGCCTATAACTTGGGAAAAGTTCTTTACTATGTCTTTGATGCTTAAAAAAAAGTCACAATTTTTAATGTAAAAATCCTTTATTGAGTGTATTTAAAAATACTTCTGAACCAGCCAGCCATCATTATCCATGATTCTAAGAGATTGTTTAATGTGTCTCTGAAGAAAAATCTCATTCCATTGGGATCCTCTCAGTCAGAATGCTTAAGAAAATTTGGTTATGAAATAAACCAAAATTTCCTTTTAAGCACAATCTATAAAAAGGTTTTTTTTTTTCTAAGTAAGTTAATAATATTTATGAGATTCCAGGAGAAAAAGTTAGGCCACTGGAAGCAGACTTTTGCATTTATGTCTAAAATTATTTGAGTAATATCTACTTGCATACAGTATGTTAAATATAACAATTTTTCATTTTTAAGAAAATAAAATCATCATAAGCTCTTTCAGACAGCATAGTTGTAGTCCACAATTACTACACCACTTTACATATGTTTAAATCTTACACAGTTATTCAGATTTGCCATTAATTCTGGTTCTCTCAGTAATTACAATTTAATGAGATTTTATTATACTTTTAAGTTAGACTGAAATGAATTCCTCGAGATTTCCTTCAGAAAATATCAAAGGAATTCGTTTTAATAATTGAATCAGGTACTAGAGTTATTAGCTTAGAATGTAAGTTTGTAATAGAAATGAACTGAGTGATATGCTTTGAAGGCAACAGATGTGGGGGGTAGAGAAAGGTGTGAGTTATAAATCTTTTATGGAGCAGGCTGATTTCTAGTTATATCAGACAATGATATAGACACTTAATGTTAATCCACGTGAGCATCCGTAGAGGTAGATGAGAAGGGACATACACACACACACACATACACACACACACACACACACACGCTCACTCTCGCACTCTCTCACACTCTAATTTGTATATAAGCTGTACTTCTGTAAGTAGACATAGTGGAGCATGCAAAACAACAGAAATGGCCATTGCTTCCTGTGTGCTTTAAATCCTGCTCAGCCTGTAGTTACCTTTAATAATTGAGAAGGATCAACTCAAATGCAGCTGTGTGCAACAGCTTTTGATGATAAGATTGGGAGAACAAAATACCAATGCTAATTGGAAATTGAGGTTTTGCAGTATGTCCTAGATTCGTATGACTGAAAGGGGCAGGGACCCCAGCATATGCACTCTGTATTAAGACAATTTTAACTTTATTGACTGTCAGTTCTTTCCTGGGCTATTGAAAGAGATTTGTTTTCTGACTTGCAGATAGGGAACCTATTTGGGGTACTTAACATGATTAGAAGCAGGTTTTAATTGTAGCATTAAAATAGTTGGAAAACTCCAAAAAGTGAGCCAGGTAAGTTATATGTGAACCATATTTTTAATTTTCTTAGATTCTGATTCCTAAGGTCATGCTATAAATAACTGAATATCTGAGAGTTGTTATTGAACAAAAAGTATATAACTTATATACTTGCTTAGCAATCAAATAATGTTTATAAATTTTTTAAAAATTGATGGACAAGTTTTGGGCTTCTGAGGGGCTTCTCCACTACAAATTGTGTGTCCTGTTGTTTTCCTTCTGTAGTATGAGTATGACTACGATGCAAATGGGGAGAGAGTTGTTTTGGGGAAAGGAACCTACGGGATTGTGTATGCTGGCCGAGACCTGAGCAATCAAGTGCGAATAGCCATCAAAGAAATCCCAGAGAAAGACAGCAGGCAAGTTGGCACTGACCTTCCACATTCTGTCATACTTGCCATCTCAACACCCCAAATCCCAGGCCCACCATGCATAGTACAGAAGATTTAAGAACAAAAGGATTGGGCTGGGGATGTGGCTCAAGCGGTAGCGCGCTCGCCTGGCATGCGTGCAGCCCGGGTTCGATCCTCAGCACCACATACAAACAAAGATGTTGTATCTGCCGATAACTAAAAAATAAATATTAAAATTCTCTCTCTTTAAAAAAAAAAGAACAAAAGGATTATGTGATCACAAAACTTGTAATTTTCTTGTAATAAAAATAATTTGCTTTTGTTCTCTGTGTAATCTAAATAGATTGAGAAATGGACTAATTTCATTTAGACCTTTGCGGATTATAGAGTCATGTCTTAAAAGAAAGTTGCATTTGCATGCATCAACTCCATCTAAAGTTTTGCATTTTGAGGGGTGGGTACTGGGGATTGGATCCAGGCCTTCATGAATGTTTACAAAATGCTCTTAATACTCAGATACACCCCCAATCCCTTTTATAAAATTTTATTTTGAAACAGGGTCTCACTAAGTTACTGAGGCTGGCCTGAATTTGTCACCCTCTTGCCTCACCTCCTGAGTTGCTAGGAATACAGGCATGCACCACCATGCCCAGCTCTAAGCTTAACATTTTTACATAATCATTTGCAGATAAAAAGAATGTGACAAAAGTGTGACTGAGGTCTTTTTTTTTCCCCTCTTTTTGATGCTAGGAATGAAACCCAGGAACTTGAGCATGCTAGGCAAATGCTTGACCACTCAACAACAACCTCAGCCCTGACAAGAGTGCTTTTAAACTTATGTTGTCATAATTGAAATCAGCTATGATTTGTTTGGATATGACATTACAGAAAACTAAATGTAGTTGAAAGATCAGATTTTTGTGACATAGACTTTTTTTTTAAACATTCTCCCCTTTAATCTGACCCATGAATTTCAGGCTATTTTTCTACTGTCGATACAGCTAATTTATTTTCTCGACATTTCTTAGTCTTATTAAATGTTCACTTCTTTTTGAATTTACCTAATCCTAATCTTAAACAAAAGCATAGCAGTGTTTACTGTCAAATGTTTCTGTAGAGAAGCTACATATTCAACCATGGCCACAGCATAGAAGATAATTATCCCATGTCAGCCCACAGTTGCAGCATTGCCCCCAGCACTGGGTCTTGATGGATATGTGCAAAAATTTCTCTATCTGGGTGATCACTATTGATTGGGGATGGGTTAAACATGATTTTCTACCCACTGTAAGACCCTTCATTCATTCATCCATTCAATTGTTGGTTTTCAGTGGGATAGCATGTGATAATTATGTAAATTATAAGGTCTGAAATGAATTAGTTCAAATTCTTCGTTTTATACCAATCTGAAAACCCAGGTTAAAGAAGACTAAATGAATTCCCCAAGACTATGTACAGACAAGGCTAGGATCCAGGTCCCCTGAGTTCTTCATCCAGTATTGTGTCCCTTATTCTCATGATGAATAAGTTGTTGCATTCTTATAGATTTGGGGAATTCCTGGTGTGGACTGCCTCCTTCTGTGGTAGCACTAGCAGTTCTAGGTTTTGTTTTGTTTGGTTTTTTTTTTTTTTTTTTGGTACTGGGGATTAAACTCAGGGGCACTCAACCACTGAACCACATCCCCAGCCCTATATTTAGAGACAGGGTCTCACTAAGTTGCTTAGTGCCTCCGTTTTTGCTGAGGCTGTCTTTGAACTCTCAATCCTCCTGCCTCCACCTCCCAAGCCTCTGGGATTACAGGCATACACCCATGCCCAGCTTGTTCTAGTTTTTTGTGTGCATAACAGTTCCTGGATTTTTAGAGCTAAAAGGGGCCTTAGAGATCATTTTGTCTAACTCCCTGAATTTATGGCTGAACTTATGATGATCAGATACCTTCTGTGTGCCAGCTTCTGGGCTTGTGCTGGAGACTGAAAGATAACTATGATACTGTCCTGATACCAGGGTGCTACCAGTTTAGTGGGGATTGCAGATACTTTGCCCATGAGTCAAAGTGACAAGTGCCATAATAGAAGGATACACAGAGTGTATTCAGGACATAGATGAGAAGTGAATTTTCCTGGGTGAGTTGTGGCAATTTTGAGAAAATAAATCATCTTTAAGCTGGTCTTTGAGGGATGAGTAGGAGTTTGACAGAAAAGAAGGCCTACCTGAGGGAGAAACAAAGATGTTAATACACAAAATCTATTCAGAGAATAACAAATTTCTGATATGGCTTGAATGCAAGATGTGGGGCAGTGGAGAACTTTTGAGATAAAAACTTTAAAATGGTGTCATCTGGCATGATTTTGAAGGTCCTTGTGTGCCGTGTGAAAGAATATAGTCTCTGGAATTTATGGAGGGGAGTGATATGGTGAAGTGTGCATTTTAAGCAAATCCCAAGAATGAGGGATGAACTAAAAAGGCCAGACCCTAAAGCTGGGTTGATCATTAGGTGGCTACTGTTGTGGTCTGGGATGAGTGTGTAGAATGACTAGAAGGCAGCTGAGGACAAAATCTTTCAGAGCACCACCCTGCACAGCAGACAGAGAAAGGCATTTCTGAGAGTTCAGGCCCTATCAATAGTGACAGTAACAGTAGAAATCACTGAGTGCTTACCACACACCAGATATTCTATCTACTAGGTGCCTGAGAAACTTATCACACTTGGTCCCCAGCAGCTCTACATGGCAGGTATTATTATAGGTTAAATATTCCTTGTCTGGAAAACTTAGGGCCAGAAGTGTTTCAGATTTGGGATTTTTGTCAGATTTTGAAATATTTGCATATACACCATGAGGCCTGTTGGGTATGTGACCTAAGTCTAAACACAAAATTCATTTACATTTCATACACACCTTATATCACATAGCCTAAAGGTAATTTGATACATTACTATAGTGGTCCTATGTTTTGATTGTGACCCATCACACAAGGTCATGTTTGGAATTTCCTGCTTGTGGTATTATGTTGGCACTTAAAAAGTTTCAGATTTTGAAGCATTTTGGATTTTTGGACTAAGGATGCTCAGCCTGTATCCTATATTTTACAGATGAGAAGCTGAGTAGTCTTATAGGAAGGGAAGAGAAAGTTTCCATAAGGAAGGGATGGCCAGCAGTAGGGTGGATGCTGGTGAGGTGCCACAAGGGTCTAGAGCCCCCAGGATTTGGCAGGTGATGCTGGCTTTTTAAATTTTTCATGATAGGTACTCTCAGCCCCTGCATGAGGAGATAGCCCTGCATAAATACCTCAAGCACCGCAATATTGTCCAGTACCTGGGCTCGGTTTCAGAGGATGGCTACATCAAGATATTTATGGAGCAGGTGCCTGGAGGTGAGTAGTTGCTGTATTCTGGCAAATTCTGAAAATCACTCTTGAAAATACAATATGGACATCATTAATTGTCCTGCCATTTTAAAAAATGACAGACATTGTAGATGTTGGAAAACATTGGTTTCTCAGAAGAGTTGGATACAGACTTTCCAAATGTCACATAAACAGACTATTTCTGGTTTGTTTATTCAATTCACAAATACTCATTGAATATCTACTGAGTGCCAGCATTGGAGACAAAGAGATGAAGAGAGCAGTCTCCTGCCTCTAGGCCTTCATAGTCTAGGGAGTTTAAAGGTGGTTTGGAGAAAAGAGAACACAGGTTTTAAAAGTGACATTACAAAATAACATCAGTAACAAAATCAAACATCAGTGCTTTGTCCACAAAGTCCCCAAATGTAGGCAATAGAATATAGGAGAAAGAGTTTCTTGGATCTGGATTCAACTATCTAGTTTGAATCTGTCCAACAATCTATAAGCTGTGTGGCCTTGGGCAAATTATTTTACTACTTTACTGCCCTCAGTTATTTGGTAGAATAAATAAATTGTAAAATTAGAATATAATAATTACTGTAATAATTGTAGTAATAATTATTGGAATAATAATAACTATCTTAGTGGGTTTTGGGGTGGGTTAAATGAGATGATGCATATATAGCTCTAGAACAGAGCCTGGCAGCAAGCTCACTGAAATAATTATAAAATTTATGAAAGTTTTAAATATTAATTATTATCTGAATACAAATGTAAAAACTTTGGTTAGAAACTTGTATTTGTTCCTTTATTCATTCTACCAGAAATCAAGAGTCTATTATTATTCAGAGTCTAATTTTATACATTAAGATCTAGGCAATGGGCTCAATTTTGAGGGTTATGTTAAGGATACAGTACAGTGTCTTTTTCCTCAGGTAACTCATAGCCTAATAGAAAAACGTGTCCATTGCTGTTCACATTTGTTACTGTTCCAGGTTTTGCGATGAAGGGTAACAACAGAATTAGAGATGGAAGCCAGACACAGTGGCACATGTCTGTAATCCCAGCTACTCAGGAGACTGAGACAAGTGGATCACAAGTTCAAAGCCAGCCTTGGCAATACAGGGAAATTCAGTCTTGGAAAAAAAATATTTATTCCCTTTTATAGATGGGGGACCGAAGTATAGTAAGGTCGCATAGCCCTGTATGAGTGGCACAGTTGAGACCGGCTGATACCCAGGAGCCTGTTCTTACCAGCAGGCAAGCCACCTTCTCTGGGACATGTGGTCAGAGAATCTGAAGGGGGGGGGGTTTCTTCTGGCCTAAGTGTTCAGTGTTCAGTAGAATAATGGGGAAGGCTTGTTAATCAGGATGGTCCTACCCCTCTACCATTGGGGTAGGTGACCTACCATTGGGGCCTTTTCACAATGAGGACAAAGAGGCCTAGCCTTCTCTAATCCTAGTCCTTGTCACCTCCAAAGACCACTCATTCTAGACCTGTCCACTTTTGATTTGATTACAGCAAGAGGTGTAAATCTGGCTTTGACTCAAACAGAAGGTTGTCCAGGAAACAAATGTCATGGGATCCGAGTCATTTATGACATTGGATCATGCCTCTTTAGTTCAAGGAGCCATATTTCACTATTCTCCTGACTTCATGTAGCTGAACAGAGCTAATCCCAAAGTTGGCCCAACTGAATTTCAAGGATCACAAGGGATTCTTCTTTGTCCTCTACTTTAATCTGGCCAACAGGCTGATTTGCTTCCAGTCTGTTCTCTGGCTGTGACTGTAGAGAGGCAAGACTCATTGCATTTAGCAATATACAATGATATAGGTATGAAGTGCTTATGTCAGGTTAGAGATGTCACTTCACTACATTTCCCTAAACTCGTTACAACTGAATCTTTGTCATCCTTATGAATGTTTTACTGTGTCCATTTCTAGGAAGCCTCTCTGCTCTTTTGCGATCCAAATGGGGGCCAATGAAGGAGCCCACTATCAAGTTTTATACCAAACAGATCCTGGAAGGCCTTAAGTATCTCCATGAAAACCAGATAGTGCACAGAGACATAAAGGTACAGGCTTTTCTAAACCAACAAAGTGTCATTTTGCTCATATCTAGTCATGATAATTGTCAGTGCAGCATGTGCTGAGTGACTTGCTCATGGGAACGTTGGGAGGGCTTTTTTTTTTGAGACCATTTTTCAAGGTTTGAACCATTAAATGTCAGTTTGTTTAAATCTGTCTTTAAGCATTTTGTACTATTCTTCTCCTGAAGGGTGATAATGTTCTGGTAAACACCTACAGTGGAGTGGTGAAAATCTCTGATTTTGGAACCTCTAAACGCCTCGCAGGAGTGAACCCATGCACAGAAACCTTTACTGGTAAGCATAGCAGAGTAGGGCTATGGTGTCCATTTTAGTGTTAAACTTTCTTCACAAGCTATAGTCATTGGAAGGGTATCTTCTCAGTGCAGATGCATGATGTATTGTTCCCAACTTCAAATCACCAGTTAGTTGTACATTACCAGACCACTAGGTAGAATGCCACTCACAAGTGACCTGTGTCTTTTTGAAATTCCTGCTTAAAAGCAACAGTAGCCCAAACCTTGATCCTTGGAAAGAAGTACTGATTTTGAGTAAATAAAGATTTATGGTCTCCTAAGGAGGAACATAAAGGTCACAAAGGTCTTGCTTTATAGTGTTATGAAACAGCTCTCATATCTCATAGCTCTGAAATAAGCTATAAAAGGGACATGGCTGGGGGTGGGGCTGTAGCTCAGTGGCAGAACGCTTGCCTAGCATGGGTGACGCACTGGGTTCGAGCCTTAGCATCACATAAAAATAAACAAAATAAAGGCATGCTGTCCATCTACAATTACAAAAAAAAATTAAAGGGTCATGGCTGTTTTCTATCTCTGTAGTCACCAAAGCTGTAGAATGGACAGCTTGAGTCTTATTCAAAGTCTCAGCTTTGAAGGACTTTTCTTCAACAAGAGACTTGTTGTATGTTAGTTGCTGGACACCCACAGTGGAGACACATTCTCCATCAAAAGGGAATTTTAATGCCTCAAAAATGACTTTTAAGTTGTAACACAAGGGGAAGTGTGTAAGTTTCAAAATGGGAAAATATGGCACCAGGGCTTCATCAGAATCTCCCATTGAAAGAGCATGTTGAATCTTCATTTTTTGTTTCTGGTACAAATATACATATGCTACATATATCATATGTGTATGAATATGTATGTAGGACTGGCCCTTTTTTCTCTCTTAGCACTTTACTACCCTAATTGAAAATGACTTATATCCTCCTTTGGAAGCCACCAGTTAGCTTAGCAATACATAGCAAGAGGGGCTCTGATATGACAAGGAGTAATTTCAAAAACATAAAACCCCCCAACAATTTATCTCATAATTAGCATCCCTAAGGAGAAAAAAAATCTCAAAGAAAACACATGTATAATTCATTATCACATATCACATTTCCCAAGTAATTGGTTTGAGGAGGCATGAATTTTGCATTGCAAAATAATGCATGGGTGTTTGGGGGATAATAAAGAAGGGGTCTCATTTTGGTTAGGAAATTCCCTTGCATGTAATTACTCTTTGAAAAACAGAGCAGTTCTGTAAAGAAATCTGAGTTAGTTGGTACAGAACTCTGGGTTGGATGGATCTGATGGAGCTTTTTCCTGATAGTACTCAGAGGTCTTCTGAGTCTTGGCAGGAGAACCAAGGGCTTCAGGCAACTTCTTGGCCTGGATCCCTCCCCTCCTGTGTCCCTCTCAAGGGCTCTCATCACAGGTGTAAATGGACTAGAACAGGCTCCCCCCCCATACTGGGGATCCAACCCAGGTCCTCAGGCATGCTAGGCAAGTGCTCTATCACTGAGCTACAATGCAGCCCTCTTGTTCTTGTTCTGGTAGTTAACAGCTTTATTGAAGTATAACTTGCATATCATAAAGGCACCCATTTAAAATGCACAATTCAGTGGTTTCTGGTAAACTTACTACATCATGTAGCCATTATCACAATATATTTTTTGTTTGTTTATTTTTAGTGCTGGCTTTGAACCCAGGGACACTCTACCACTGACCTATATCCCTAGCCCTTTTTATTTTTTATTTTGAGACAGGGTCTTGCTAAGTTTCTGAGGCTGGCCTCAAACTTGTAATCCTCCTGCCTCAGCCTCCTGAGTCATTGGGATTACGGGTGTACAGCACTGTGCCTGGCTACAATGCAGGTTTTGAACATTTCTACCACCTCCAGAAGATCCTGTGCCCCTTTGCATTAATCCCTGTTCCCACTGCAGCTCCAGGCCATCACTGATCAACTTTGTTTGCTGATTTGCACGTTCTGGGTTATTTCATACATGTGGAATGATAAAATATGTGATTTGCAGCATCTAGCTGCTTTTACTTAGTGTGATATTTTTCAAGGCTCATGCATGCTCTAGCATGTATCAGCCCTTCATTCCTCTCAGGCTGAAATAGTATTCCATGGTGTGGATGGACAACATTTGCCAGTTAATGGTCATTTGGGTGGTTTCTACTTTTGACTGTCACAAATAGTGCTGCTATGATCATTCACATGCAAGCTTTTGTGTGAATGTATATACGTTTTCATCCCTCTTGAGTAGATACCTAGGGACAGAACTCAGAATAGGAACTATAGTCTATGGCTATAAATGTCCTTGGTTCAAGGATGAGCAGGTTCAAGTCCTGGCTCAACCACTTGCTAGCTGGAAGACCTTGGACATGTTACCCACCCTGTGTGTACCTTAGGTTTTTCATAAGTAAAATGGAAATGCTCACATTACTTACCTTATAGGGTTTTTAAAGAATTAAATGTGTTAATATTGAAAAAGTACTTTGATCGCTATCTGGCTTATAGCAAGTAAACTTGGAAGTATTTATTAATTTAAAAAGAAATACCTATTTTCATATAGAAATTGCAGGGTATTAGAGCTGGAAGGAGCCTTTGAGAGAATTGAGTTCCTGTGTGTATCTAGTGTGTTGAACCTGTGGGACTCAAAGGTTGTCATGATAAAAACCATTGTATTTTTTTCCCCACTGCCCCATAATATCCTGCCCAGAGCAGTGGGCCTTTCCCATGACTTTTCCAGCCACCTTCAGAAGACAAAGAGTCCAAATGACACTTTAAAGAGCAAACAGGTTGAATTGAGTGATAAAAAGAATGTGGGCTCATATACTCATCAATGGTCTGGTCCTCATTCCCAGGGCCAACTCCTCTCCCCTCGCCCTCCCACCTACAGCAGTAGGCAGTGATCTCTGCTCAGGTGACTCAATGTTGCTTCTCTTCTGTCACCTCTTTTTTCACTCAATAGCTACAGAAAGGCAAGGCAAGGGGCTTGACATATTGTCACTTGACTAGTACTGCTATAAGCTGAGTTTGTGTGCTATGGACCTGGGTGATGTTTCCTGTTAATTGCTCTTGATGGATCCCCTTGAATGTGACCCTCCACATCATGGGCAGGGGCCTTCCTTTGGTTGACTAACCCCTGCCCCTCCCCAACTCTTGCCCCTCACATTCTACCCACCCCTTTTCAACTTTCCATGGAGGAATTCAGGTCTTGGAAGACTGCCTTTAAGCTAGATTCCTCTGGGGAAAACAAACAAAACCCCTAAACCAATGGGCCTCACTTTTTAAGAGTTAAGGGTTTCTGCTCTTCAAGCCATTGTTGAGAGGTAATGACAATATTCCCAGACTTTACAATCCTCTGTCTCTGCTGCTATAAGTGACTTTTGCTCCCTTGAGAACCAGTCCTCTGTGCACCTTACCTCTAGGGGATGTGCATATATTGAGCTCTGAGTAGTTTGAAGACCTTGGGTTGGGAAGAAGTGGTCTCCTCCAGGGACCATCCCTTGGGTTGGGCAACTAGGGAAGCCCCCACCACCATGGGAGGCTGCACCTTCTTTAGTATTAAAGTTTGAAACATCAGGCTCTAACAGTATCTGAAAGACTGTGCTAGTCAGCTCTTTGTTGCTATGACAAAATACCTGAGAAAAACAACTTAAAAGGAAAAAGACTTTATTTTGACTCATGGTTTCAGAGGTCTCAGTCCATGGTCATCTGGCTCCATTATTTCTGGGCCCACGGTAAGGCAGAATGTCATGCCAGATAGCAAAGTTGTTCCCCTTATGGTGTCTGGGAAGTAGAGAGTGGGAGGAAGGTGTTAAGGACAAGATATTATCCCCAAAGGCACATCCCCAAGGATATACTTCCTCCAATTAGGTCCCACATCCTACAGTTTCCACCAGCTCCTACTCAGCTATGAATCCATTAGTGCATTAATCCATTGATGCATTGATGAAATGAGAGCTCTCTCTCCAAAGAGGCTGCCTTCAATACCCTACTATTGTATCTCCCCTCTCTAAACACTCTGAACCCCTTGGTCTGGATGGGATGCCTCTGAGCAATAGGCCCAAGACTTGTGTACCCAGAGATCTGAGGTGCCCTTAGAAAATGTGTACCTTGTGGCCCCAGTCTCTCACCTTGTCCTGGTATCTGTATCATGTCTTGGTGCCTTTGTCAAAAAGCATTACCTTGGGCTGCAGTTGTAGCTCAGTGGTAGAGTGCTTGCTTAGCATGTATGAGCCACTGGGTTAGATCCTCAGCACCACATAAGAATAAATAAAAGTATAAAAAACACAATAACATTATTTTAAAAAGTATTTCCTTATGCCATGTATTTTCCCTGCTGATAATTTGAAAATCCTGTTTGGGCAATTGTCCAGGAGCTGCTAACAAATTTTATGTTCCAAGGGGGCTGGGTTAGTGTTTGTGGGTCTTCTGGACACCTTTTTCTGCATTCAGCACCACCACCCTGGTGTAGGTGCTGAGCCAGTGACAGTGAGGTGGGGCACCCGTTGGAGGAAATGGAGTTTAGGAAGGATATGAAGCCCCTATAGATGTAAGGCAGGCCAGTTTCCCAGGATTTGTGCATGATTCAGATGCCCCACAATGCCATCTTTGCTTGGGGGTGCAAATAGGAGGGTAGGATTAGAACTTTGAGGGGAGTGTCATTGGGCTGGAGCAAGTCCCTTGGAAGGGCAAGATGAAGATGGTTCTGGGGAGTAATAGAGTGACAAGAAGGTAGGGACTGGAGTCACCTGAGGGTCCAGAGTAAGCTTCCTCTCAGGAACAAGGAAGAACAAGTCCCCTTTCCATCCTTCTGGGATCTCTTTAGCACTGCCTAATTGCAAAGCCTAACAGGGAACCTCAGGCAAAGCAGAAATTTTTTTTTTTTTTTTTTTGGTTTGGTTTTGGTTTTGGTTTTGGTTTTTTTTTTTTTTGAGCTCCAGATCCAGCAGCACAGAGCAGAGCTGGGAGATGATAGCTTAAGAAACAACACAGTGTCAAATCATTTTTTAATTAATGAATTTTGGATTCATTAGAAGGCACATTCCCTGCCAACACCTCTCCCTTTGTTATTCACAGCAGCAACTGCCTGCAGGGGATATTGTATCACCGGAAGTTCCTTTCCTGTGGCTCTGGGGTTTCCTAATAGTGCATCAAGAGTGATGCACCTCCATCTTGCTCAACTCTGCAACTGACTGAACACTTCCCCACCAGTTTATTAGCTCTGGAGACCAAAGCCATCATTTGTGTCGCACTGATGAGTTGTGCTCACTAATACAGTCTTATTTTATATTTAACTTTAGATCAATTGAAATGAAATCAAATCAAGTTAAAACAATTTAAAATTAATTTCTTCTGACTCGCTAGCCACATATCCACAGCCAGTATGTGGCTAATGGCTACCATATTAGATGGCATAGAATAGAGCATCCCCATCATTAAAGAAAATTATTTTGGTCACAGCTGTTCCTAGAGTCTTTAAAATGTTCATGGGAAGGAAAAATGCTGGTAAGACATTGGATCTTTAAGAGAAGGACATAGCAGTAGCTTATTCAAACTTTTTAAAAATTTTTTTTATTAGTTGCTCAAAACATTACAATGATCTTTACATATCATACATTTGATTCAAACTTTTTATTTTATTTTTTTAACTGAAAATGAGCCCTTTTTATTGTAAAACTCAGGAAACCTGTTTTGGTTGAATGATCTTGAGACGGGACCTTTCATTTCTCTGGACATTAGTGTTCCTGTAACACCATGGCTAAGGTCATCTCTGAATTTGATGTTTTCTTCTAAACCTCTTTGCCAGCCTATAACATCTGCTAATGTCCCAGCCACATTTTCCCTTTCCTGTTGCTTAATTTCAAGGAAAACCAAAGATTTTACTCCTAGAGCCCTTGATTGAGCTCCCTGCTCCCCATCTTTCTATTCAATAATCCCTTCGTCTTCCTGCTACCATATCCAATCAGTGCCTTCCCTGGGGTAACCTCTGGTAGCTCATGAACCACAGGAGAAAGTCCAAAGCCAGTCTTTTTTTAATATTTATTTTTTAGTTATAGGTGGACACAATATTTTATTTTTATTGGTGCTGAGTATCGAACCCAATACCTTATGCATGCTAGGCGAGCACTCTACCTCTGAGCCACAACCCCAGCCCCCAAAGCCAGTCTTCAGAACATACAGCTTGCCATTTAGACTGTGCCCTTGCTGCTCTCCTTAATCCTTTCTACACCCTGCCCCTAGTGAAATATCACTTGTTGTTCCCTGGACTCTATACTTTATACCCATGTTCTTGCTCAAGTTCTTCCCTATACCTGAACACCCTCCTATCCCTTTGACCACCTCTTCAACCGTAGTAGCAGGAACCTACTTCATTGGCAGTGCCAGCTGATGCCCCTTTGGATCACATTCTTGGCAAGGCGACACTTTACCCAGGCTGCTCCTTGACAATGTCTGAACCTGGTTAAGATTCTAGAGCCAATATGGGACTCTGCCAATGGGCAAATTATGGCCAAGTTCTCCTTGGTGACCTGGCTGAAGCCCTCAGTGCTGAGACTCTTCTACCTAATTCTTCCTCCCTCCATTTCCCCCAGGGCTCAGGCCTGCTTTGTAGTATGGCACTCTCCCTGCCAATCCTGCCCTCCCCTTTATCCTTCATAGACCTTCTCCCCAATAAATCTCCTATATGTCTAATCTTATTTTGGCATTTGCCTCTCAGAGACCGAAAGAAATTGACAGTCATAGATTTCCCTGATTCAGACCAGACAGAATCAAGCACTTTTTCATCCACATTCTTCCAGTCCTCTGTGTATATCACTTAGCACATTTTACCATCACAGCTGCTGCTACCACCACCATTATATATGTCTCCTCCCCTGGGAAGCTTTTTGTGATCAGGCTGTTTCTCCCATTCCAGTTTCCCTGTATTTGGTATGTGCTAAAACATGCTAATTGAATTGGGCCCCTTTATCCTTTGAGGGACTAAGCAATCCTCTCTCAATATGCATAGTATTGAAAGAAGCTATGTTGCATGTTTTGGGTTAAAAAGTGATGAAGCCATATTATTTATGCATAGAACAAGGCTCCTTCCACTATTAATGAGACAATTAAGCCCCCAGACTTGTTTTTACTAATGGTCCAATATAGTGCTCTGATTTTTGCATTTATTTTCTATATAGGTACTCTGCAGTATATGGCACCTGAGATTATTGATCAAGGACCTCGTGGGTATGGTGCCCCAGCTGATATCTGGTCCCTGGGCTGCACCATCATTGAGATGGCCACCAGCAAGCCTCCATTCCATGAGCTTGGTGAACCACAGGCAGCAATGTTCAAAGTAAGACACATTTGGTCATTTGGGTGGTTTAGATGTTGGGGAAACAATTTAAAACAAGATCTCTTCTCAATCTTGAAAACTTATACACAAAGTAGAGAAGGAAAACAGTTTTATTATTTAATAAGTATTAAACTAGAATGCAAGGCACATCACAGATAATCTGCTAAGATTTCAAAGACTGAAGGAAATCTCACCCCTTTATATTGCTAAGTAGATAAAATTCGTTATAACCACATTCTCAAGATAAATAACTAGACCTCAAGTGAGAGGACTTGACAACTCCTCTTAGATTCACCTGGTAATTGAGGTGACCTTTTATGTTAGGAAATTGGCTTTTTGCAGAGAAAAAAAATAAACCTGTTTTATCTTAAGATAGGAGGTAGTTTTAGAGTGAGGCACCACCAAAGTTGGCCCCCTTCCCTCCTACAGAAACTGGGAGATAGAGGAACTGTCTTCCTCAATGATTTCATTTCAAAGCAATGGCTCCCAAGTCTTGGGAAAGATGTTTCTGGTAAGAGGCTTATCTAGCTGTTAAAAAGATTTGCATGCACCAGGTGCAGTGACACGTGCCTGTAGTCCCAGCAGCTCGGGAGGCTGAGGCAGGAGGATCACAAGTTCAGAGCCAGCCTCAGCAACTTAGTGAAGCTCTGAGCAACTCAGTGAGACCCTGTCTCTAAATAAGATATTAAAAAGGGCTGGGGATGTGGCTCAGTGGTTAAGTGCCCCTGGGTTCAATCCCTAGTAACAACAGCAATAACAACAACAAAACATCTCAAGAGAGAAAGAACAAAAAATTCTAAGTTCTCTAAAGTAAATGCTCTAAGAATCCTCTTCCTTTATGTTGGAAGGGGATAATTAAGCCTCTTATGTTTCATTTGCATTTGCCCTTTCTCTGGGTAAGGCTCAAAGGCCATGGTGTGGTATGTGTCATTGAAGGAATGGATTTTGGAGAGGCAGAACTGCAACAACCTTCTATGGCTAATGGAAGGCCACTCCGTGTGTGGAGGCTAACATATCAGTGGTGGTTTTACTGCTGGGCAAGTGGGACCTTGAAAGGGGATATACTTGCTTATGACCCCACAGGAAGCTGATGCCAGGACAACCCTGTGTGCCCAAGGTCAGGTCTGCAGTTTCTGACTCTTGAGTATCTTTGGAAACATTTAAGGGGCTCCAGCCCTGAGAGTCCATTATCAACAGTGACCTTCCATGGAAGATAGTTTTAAAATTTTTTTCTAGTTGTGGGTGGACAGAATGTCTTTATCTTTTTTTTTGTTTATTTTTATGTGGTGCTAGGGATCGAACCCAGTGCCTCACATATGCTAGGTAAGTGCTCTGCCTCTGAGCTACAGCCCCAGCCCCTATGGAAGATTTTTATTCATCCCAAAAGGGTGGGGGGGGTCTCAAAAAGTCAAATAGCCATTGTTTGTAGATAATGAAGCTACAGTACATTGACATAGCTTCATAGTACATGTCCAGAGGCCTTTTAGTAGCTTTTCTGCCACATTTGGCAGCCTCTGTCATGGCCTGCATCATTGCTGGACCCTCTGGCTCAGCCCCTTGGGTAGAAAGACCTCAAAAATATGAGTGTGGGATTGTGTCCTCTGAGGTGAGCATAGCACCTTCAACTGGCTCTGAGCAGCACTCTGTGCTCTGGGTACCTAGGCTGCTCTCCTCAGCCTGACTGGGCCCCAGCAGAAGATTCTCAGAGCTTCCTTCCATTATATCAGCTGCCCAGGTAGCTTCAAGGCCAACACCTCAAGTCCACCAAAGTTTTCTGGTCCCTACAGTGCTAACAGAACCCTGAAGACAAGGACTAGAAGACAGCAGCAACCTTCTTGAACATATCAGTGACCATTCATAACCCCCAGTGAAGTTAAAGATCTCACCTGCAGCTTCCATCACAGGCCTTAGAATAAATAGCAGCTGGTGCTTGGAAAAACATGGTGCCCACAGGAGAGCCATGTCTGTCTGTTTTCTGATCTGTTGACTTTCTGTAAAACTCCAGAAACCCAGCCGAAGGCTGTGACTTTCTCAATTCATCCACCGGGCATGAACAACTCCCAGGATCTTCTTCCTGCCTCCTGTTTTTGGTTAGCTCATTATCTGTACAAATTCTTTGCAAAAATGTTGATTTGTTTGGGTCACACATGAAGTCACTTTATGTTGCCAACAAAAAAGTTAGTATTGAGCAAATAATGTCCACTGTGTTATTCATTTCTTGGATAGTAGAATCCTTCAACAAAAATTTTAAAAACTTCTGGGCAGTGTCTGAAACAAAGGGAATTATTCTTCCCCCAAGGGGAGTGTTATGGGTTTAATTGTGTCACCCAAAATGATATATGGAAGTCCTTATCCCCAGAAACTCAGAACATGACCTTATTTGGAAGTAGGGTTTTCACAGAAAAAAAATCACATTAAAATGGTATCAGAGTGGACCCCAAAGCAGCAATGACAGGTGTCCTTATTAAAAAGGGATATTTGGACTCCAAGACAGACATGCACAGAGAGAAGACTGTGTGAAAGCAGGGAGTTGGGGTGATGCATCTTAAGAGACTGGCCTCAGGGGGAGACCTTGGTCTCAGCCTCCCAGATTCCAGAACTAGAAGGCAATACATTTCTGGTGTTTAAGCCCCCCAGTTTGTGATACTTTGTTACAGTAGCCCTGGTGGACCCTTAAGGGAGCTTTTAAGTCATAGCAGAGCACTCTAATAAGTGATGTATTTGCAAGGTGGTAGGGTGTGCTGTCCACGAGTAGCAGTGTCCTGGGAATGGGATGTGTCCACCTCATCAAGGGCCTTTGGGAGGTGAAGTCAGAAGGTCTGCAGCACCCAGGTCTTTGCTCCCACATGTCGTGCAGGAAAGGAGCCCAAGCCAGCCCTCAGGATTGCTGAGGGGCTGGCCATGAGCTTGGATCGGGAAGACAGAACAGCTTCCTCCACTGGATTGAGTGGGCTTGGAAAAGACACAGGGAAGGCTGTAAACTTTAAGATGACAATGCCTAAGAAAACTAGAGAGCCACTCCTGATGGGAACAATTATGCAAGAAGAGGTTATTCAAGGTTTGTCGGAAACATTTCCATGTCATAGTGAGATGTGGACTCTGGTCACAGAAACAGGGAACCTTTGGCAGGATAGCAGTCGACTATCCAAAAGTGGGCCCTGAAACAGCCATTCTAGCAAGAACTATGAAATTAAGGAGCAGTTCACTTCCCTCAACTGCTGTATCCCTAGGGAGGAGGCCCTGGCTTGGCTGTGGATGACAACTTGTCTGTGAGTAGCAGCCTCAGGTTTTGTATGCTTATGGCTTAGAGCTGGAGGATGGGGACCTGGGCTGTGGATGCATAGGGACTGAGAGGTGTGGTGAGGTGTCTCTTGGGAACAGATAGTAGAAGCCTTTGAATAACCTCAGAATGTGGCTCTCCTGCCCCAGGCTTTGGCCCAGTTCCCTCTCAAGTCTCTTGTGCTATGTAACTAATAACTATGTGACTTGTTATTCCTCACAGTTCTGTGAGTGGACTGTTGGCTGGCTCTCCTGCAGGCCTTGCCTGGACTCACACCTGTGGTTGTATCCAGGTGGCAGCTTGGCTGGGGCAGGATCCTCTGAGAGGTCCTTTTGCAGGTGACTGAGGATGTGGCGGTGAGGGTCGGACCTTTCTGTCCACACAGTTGTCCATCCTGGACTCCTTCCCTGTGTGGTGGTCTCAGGGCTCCAAGAGGACCAGGGCAGGGACTACAAGACATCTTAAGGCCTAAGCTATGAAACCCTCACATAGAACTTTCACCTCAGTCTCTTGGTGAAAGGAAAGTCACAAAAGGCCAGCCTATTTCTGTTTGTTTTTATTTTTTCAGTGCTGGGGATCAAATCCAGGGCCTCACCCATGCTAGGCAAGCACTCTACTACTGAGCCACATCACAGCCTTCAAAAGGCCAGCTGAGACTCCAGGGATAGGGAAATAGAGACCACCTGTGGATAGGAGGAGCAGGAACATAGCAATGCAAAGGGGCATGGACAGAACTGAGCATCTTTGGGGCATTCCCAGCCCCTCATAGGATGGAGGTGTAGGAGCTTTCTGTTGAAAATTCATTCCCCTGAATCACCTCAGGCTTCACTGACACATTGGTTACCCCTCCCTTAAATGCAGGTGGGAATGTTTAAGATCCACCCTGAGATTCCAGAAGCTCTTTCAACTGAAGCCAGAACCTTCATCTTATTCTGTTTTGAGCCTGACCCTCAAAAACGGGCCACTGCCACTGATCTACTCAGAGAGAGTTTCTTAAGGCAGGTGAACAAGGGCAAGAAGAACCGAATTGCTTTCAAGCCCTCAGGTGAGGCTTACCTGGACAGCTGGGGAGATGCCCTGGGCCTGGGGCTTCTCTGCTGCTTACAAAGAGTGCTAGCTCTCCATAGCATTGAGCTTCCATGTTATGCCTATTTATGTGAAGAGTGGCAGGGATGGTGCTGTGGGTTTGAAGGTTGTCAAAGTCCATCTAGCAAACATCCCTCCATTTCCTGACAGGCACAGGGAGCCTGGAGGGTGACTGTGAGGTCCACTCCCCCAACTTCCTTGAAGTCTTTCTTTTGGGAATGTGTGGAGGTGGGAGATGAGAGGTACCTGTCTGGGGTTTGTGTCTCCCCTAAATGTAGAGCCTGATGTTTCATCTTTGGAGCCTGGCCTGCCATCCTGGCCTTGATTAAAGGGTGTGTTAGGGATGCTTGCCTGTGGTAGCTTTCCCACAGGCCTTCAAAGCCCAGTGACACCTTCTAGAATAGTAGCCTGTAAGTAGCAGTGACAAAGAGCAGCCTGTGAAAAGGAAGCCATTTGCCACTTTCCCTCTGGGGTGGATGGAATCAGAAGGCATGGCAGAAGGACTCTAAACTTGCTCCATAGAATGTGACCCTAGACCACCTGTTTATGATGAGGCCCATCTCAGACCTACATTTCTCACCATGGTCTCAGGTGACTGTTCACACCACCTAAGTCAGAGCTGTGCAGGCTTAGCAAGCCCCCAGGTGGGCACCTGGGTCTGAGAGGCTGCCAGAAGCTCAACCTCCACCTGGTCCTTCTCTGAGCCTCTCCATTCCCTGTCTGGCTGTCCCCCACAGAAGGAACCCGCATTGTCACCAGTGCCCTGGCCCTGCCGTCACCAGGGGAACCTCTGGGCAGTAGCAGCAGCGAGTATGGCTCCATCTCCCCAGACTCTGATGCCCAGCCTGACACATTCTTTGAGAGGACACAGGTGCCCAAGCACCAGCTCAGTCACTTTCTCAGGTACTGCCCGTTTCCCTTGTTCCCCTGTTGTGGTCCTGTGAGGGGTGCTGCTGTTCCTCAGTGATGCAATACTTGCTGGGTCATAACCAGAGGGCTGGGAAGGGCTTTTGCTTTCCTGCAGGGCAGCAGAATGTCTGGGGACAAGCCAGGAGAGCACTTTGCTTACTCCCTGCCCTCTCTGTTCCACTGTCTTATTTCCTTCCTCCTCTGCACTTCCCTCTCCTGTCTCTTCTTCCCCTCATTTTTCCCTGTTTTCCCCTCCCACATACCCCCTTATTCTCTCCCCTTTCCCTCTCTCAGCTTGCCTTCCCTTCTACTCCCCCTCTTTCCTCTCCCTTCCTCTGCTCCCCCCCTCTCAACCCCACTTTTTTTCCCCCTTCTCCCCGCGAACTTGGCTACTATGGGGGAAGCAAAGGGGAGAGGGGGACATGGCCTCCCTCCTCCTTCAGCCTTGTTCCCTGCAGCTTCCTCTTCTTGAGCCTGGGGACTGCAGTGTATTCCTCTTAGCCCCGCCCCCACAGCATATGGTGGTACACTTCCTGGTGATAGGATTGTTACATGTGTTTCGTCTGCAGCGTTCCAGACGAGAGCTCAGCCTCAGAAGACCGGAATGCACTTTCTTCCCCAGATGACAGGGACCAGGGCCTCTTTCTGCTGCGCAAGGACAGTGAGCGCCGTGCCATCTTGTACAAAATCCTTTGGGAAGAGCAGAACCAGGTGGTTTCTAACTTGCAGGAGTGTGTGACCCAGGTACTGGGAATGGCATCTGCTAATCTAATCCCATCCCACCTGGGTCCAAGTCCCTGGACAGGTTTGAACAGGAACCACTCCTCTCTGTGGCCTGGAACATTTGCATAGTTAGAGTGAGCACCATAAGTATTTCCTAACATCCTTCCCTTCCCCAACAAAACAAAAGAATATACAAAGAAAAAACTCCGCTAAAATGTGAATTTGCAGATCACTGCAGTGCTTCTAGGCATTTGCAGGGTGGTGCTACCACCTGGTGGAGAAAGAGCCACATGGCAGCAGAAACACCAGGAAGCTGAAGGGCTTCTAGCCTCTGCCTCTTATCATCTTGGTTTTGAGGCCTAGGGTGGAGTTAACCCCCAGCTGTAGGACATGCTAAAGCTGCCCTCAGAATCTGGGAGAACAGCCACTTTATGGAGAATGGTTATGGATGAAAAGATTTGAGTTTTAACTAGGACACAGCAGTAGTATACTGATCCCCCTATCTTTATTTTGGATGAGGAAGGTCCTTTTAGGAAGAGGTCACTGCCACACTATAAACTAGGCCTTTTGATGAGGGGTCAAACAGGAGGTAGAATCATTCAGTGGGACTTAATGGTGAGGATGTGTGCTTGCCAGAAGACCCCCCCCCCCCAGGAAGGATATAGAGGGAATTCTAAGAACAAAGGCTCCTTCTTCCCCAAGGGATTCCACAATTCTGTTAGCAAATGGGCAGTCTAGTTTCCCACAATACATTTTGAATTTTCTATCCCACTTCCCTTACTCATTCAATGAAAATGATTCATATGTTTGTGTGTATGTGTGGTCAGAGCTCAGAGGAGTTGCATCTCTCAGTTGGTCATATCAAGCAAATAATCGGGATCCTGAGAGACTTCATTCGCTCCCCAGAGCACAGGGTGATGGCATCCACAATATCAAAGTTGAAGGTGGACCTGGATTTTGACAGCTCATCCATCAATCAGATTCACCTGGTACTGTTTGGATTTCAGGATGCTGTAAGTGTTCCATCTGACCCTGGAGAACATGATAATCACCATCGTCTCCCATAGCCCCCATTTCTTCTCATCTGTTTACACCTGAATGCTGAAATTTAGCAGCTCCTCCTAAACATTGAGGATGTAGGTAGGTATAGGAAATGTCACCTGAGTGAGTGGGCTGATTGCCTTTGGCCACAGAGAACATAAGAATACGATTTAGGAGCATATGGCATCTGGCAGCAAGTAGGTGTAGACTTTAAGCTTATGTGTCTGCCCAAACAGATATGAGTTCCGAGACTATCTGGTTCATCTTCGTGTCCCCAGCCCCCAGTGCAATCTGTCATTTCCTAGGTGTTCAATAAATGCTTGTTGAATAAACAATGAAGAGGTCCTGTGATGTCAATCCCATTGCTGTACACATCTTCTAGACTCCAACGTGACTTAGGGCAGCCTAGAGGAAGACTGGGTTCAGAAGAAATGTGTCAGACAAAGCTCCATGGCACCATTGCCAATACTCAGTCTCAGAGTAAAGGCAAATTAGAATTAGAACTTGACTTTTTTAAAGCACAACAGACTAGAAATCTGGATTTTTGTGATTTTTAGGTAAATAAAATTTTGAGGAACCACTTAATTAGGCCCCACTGGATGTTTGCAATGGATAACATCATCCGCAGAGCAGTGCAAGCTGCGATCACCATTCTCATCCCAGGTAAGTGCCCTCTGAGGTCAAGGTCAGCATCAGGCTTTAAAAAAGACCAGAATTATTCTCTGCATTCAACAATCATTTTTTTTCCCCTGTGGCTTTATACAATCCTGCAGTAAAGTGAATGCTGTCATAGATCCCATCAAAGTTGAACAGTCTATGATAAGAACATATGGTACTTAACTTATGTGTCCCCTGAGTGTAATGAAAGTGACTACTTACAAATGCATCATGTAAAAAGGCAGGGATCTTCCAGTGCTATGGTACCCATTTCAGTGTGTGTGCTCACAAATGCTTGCTAGATAGTTGAAAAGAAAACAGCTCCATTTCTTTTTCCTCTCTCTGAATTATCTTCTAGTAGCTATAGGAATTTGGGGTGTTTTTTCCCCCCTGCTGGGAATCAAACCCAAGGCCCCACTCTTATCAAGCATGCCTTCTACCTGAGCTATTGAGCTATGCCCCCAGCCCAGTTTTGGGCTGTTGTAGACTTATTTCTGGAAATGTTAGAGCAGCTTCATGGCAAAGTCACTTCCTCTTCTGTGATACTTCTTCCTGAAATGGGAGGCTTTAGAAGGGTTCTATGGACCTGGCCTCTTCCTCTCTTTACTCTGGGACTTTGCTGTTCATCTTCTGTCTGTTCTCCTGAATGCTCTGTAGCCTACGCTCAACTGGCAGGAGGGGCATGTGAACCCCATGTTCCTGCTCTAAGCAAGTATTTGCCTGGTTGCATCTTTGTAAAGCCTCCTTGACTAACCTCCTTACATCTTTGTGTAAACTGGGAGGGATCATTTTTATGGTGGAGGGAACCAAACAGAATTGTCTTCTCTCCTTTTATAAAGCTAGCACACTCCCCTTGAGTAGCTTCATTTGGTGGCACAGGACGTGAGCTAAATGCCATGATAACCATGGTCTATGATTTCACAGAGCTCCGAGCTCACTTTGAGCCTACGTCTGAGACCGAAGGGGTAGATAAGGACACAGATGAAGTGGAAGACGACTATCCCTTAGCAGACCTGCCCGGAAGCGAAGCACATGTGGCATCAGGAGGGAGAAGACCTGGTGCAGCTGTTGCTGAGGAGGCTCAGCCCCACCAGCAGCACCTGAGCCTCCAGCTGAGCAAGCTCAGGCAGGAGAGCAACAGGTGATGACCTTCCAGGCCCTCAGTCTGGAATGAGTTGTTTGGGGCCTCACCCAGGTCTCAGGTCTTTACCATCAATGAACTGGGCAAGGTTTTATGTGCAGTTTCAGCTGAGGAACTAGAATGCCTTCCTTTAATATTAGGAATCAGATAAGTATAGGGCCTTGTCACAGGCCATGAGGAACTTTGCCATACTAAAGACAGCAGTACCTTAACGCTTTTCTGTATCTTTACCAAGATGGGACTCCTGGCATGGCACATGGCCTGGCATGCTCAGTAGACATCTGTAATAGCAGAGTTTGGGGGTGTTTGCACTTCATTATGGATGATGGACTCTGATCCCAAGGAAGTCTGCCCTCTCGTATCTTCCTGGTAATTTGTCACGTTCCTCAGGCAGGTGGTATCAATGAACTGCCTTCCCAACCAGGGTACCCTGGCATCATCATAATGTTCCTCCAATGCCCAGGTCTATTTTGTTTACTTCCTGGTATCCAACAGGTGTTTCATAAGCATTTGTTAAATGAACAAAATGATTCCTCTTTATTTTGAAGATTCACATCAATCAAAATCAAAATGCAAAAATCAATGAGCTTTTAAAACAATTAGAATCTACAGCTATGGCAAACTGTTATTGGGAGAGAAGGTGCTGGATGTATATACTTTGGATGAAAAATTGTGCAAACCCCCAGGATATTTCAGATTTAATTTCTAGACATTTCTTTTAACAGACCTGAAATCTTAAGTAAATGGTAGTGGTGGCAAATTTTAAGAAGATGACAAACATGAAATTGGTAGTAAAAAGTGTTCTTCAAAACTTTTTTTCCCAATTCAGTTATATGTGGGATCAAAGGTCATTCCTCTCCACTGTTCAGTCATGCCATTATTTTCTATTCTTAGTAGACTTAGGAATTGGTTAAACAGCATTCAGCACATTAATGTGAATGGCTAACTAACAAAGCGGCTCTTGGGCAGCCTGCCCATCCTGTGGCAAATGCCTTGACCATGCAGCAATTGGGCAGAGCTGTAGCAGGATGGTCTGTGATGTGACTGGGGATAACTAGTCTGTCCCAATGACAGGCCTGAAAACACTTTGCACTGAAGGGGCCCAGGCACGGGCTAAAATTGTCTCCTTCACTCTGGTAGGAAGAAGACTGCTTGACAAAGATGTACGCAAGGCCAGGGGTAGGGGGTTGGAATTTCTCACTAGAAAAATTTCCTCCTTGCTGGGGCAGGAGTGTTTGCCTCTCCCCATGCCATTTTGTCACTGAATCATCCAGGGGTACCTGTGTTCTCATCTGTTTACACATTGTTGCAGTGACTTCTCAGAGTTAGACATCAATGATTAACTTTTACTAATCCAAATAAAGCTTAGTTCTATATCGCTAGTTCACCAGCATGGGTAATATACATAAAGAACATGCAGTTAAAACTAATGTCGTGTTTTAGGTACATAAGCAAACAAAAGAAGGTAAACATGGCTCCAGTMTACCAGTCCTGCTTCCCTTCTCCCAGGCATATGATCCAAGCTGGCATGGAAAGGACCCAGAAGTTGGAGGCTCAGATGTGCCAAACTCTTTCTTGTCCCAGGGAGACTGTCCTGACGGGAAAAGCCCAGTTTCTGTGACTCTGGGTGAATTATTTAGTGACTCAGTGCCTCAATACTTCAGCTCTGAGTGGTATTAAAGCCTAAATGACCTAATCCACTAAGTGTTGTGCAGTCCTGGATTCTGCAGAGAGATTTAGTGTTAGTAGTTATGCCCTGTGGAACTCTGGCTCTCCTCAGCCAGCAGCTGTTCCCTTGCTTCAGCTCCCTCCAAAGAAGGAGGATAACCTATTTTCAGCTACTGCATCTTAGGGAGACAAGCTTAAGGATCAGGTAATCCTTCTGGCTTAGTTGTACTGATCGACATCAGATTAACTTCTAGTTCATGATATACTTTGAGACAAAACTGTCTAAGTCTGGTTCAGGCTGCTATTACAAAATACCATCAACTGGTGGTTTACAAACAACAAATTTACTTCTCCCAGTTCTGGAGGCTGAAGTCCAAGATCAAGGGCTAGCAACTTCATAGATGACTGACTACTCACTGTATTATTGCATATTATTGCATGGTGGGAGGGGCGAGGGAATCTCTGGGATCTTCTTCCAAAAGGGCCCACCCTTCTAAAATACCTTGGTGGCTAGGGTTTCAATAATATAAAATGTACCCATGCTCCAAGTGCTGGTCTTTGTTGTTAAATGAGAAAAGGTAGATTCCCCTGCATAAGCTGAAACCTGGTTAACAGAACTCTGAAGAAACAAATCTGCTTCCCCCTGAGCTAACTGAAAAAAAAAAAAATTTAAAGGCATAATCCCAACAATCTCTTAATGTTAAACAAATGTTTGAGTTGAATTGGATAGTACTGGGCTAATGATGCTTTTTTTTAAACCAGACTCTTGGAACACCTAGTCCAAAAAGAGAGAGAGTACCAGAATCTTCTACGGCAAACGCTAGAACAGAAAACTCAAGAATTATATCACCTTCAATTACAATTCAATTATAATGGTGAGTCATTGTTCATGTAACTCTAACTAAGGTGTGTCAGACAGAAAGACAAACTAAAAATCTGCTGAGCTGGGCACGGTGGCGCACGCCTGTAATCCCAGAGGCTCAGGGGGCTAAGACAGGAGGATCACGAGCACGAGTTCAAAGCAGCCTCGGCAACTCAATTCAGTGAGACTCTGTCTCTAAATATACAAAATAGGACTGAGGATGTGGCTTAGTGGCCTAGTATCCCTGAGTTCAATCCCCGATTACCCACTTCCCCCTCAAAAAAAACCTGCCTAATATTTTAGCCAGTCTTGAAAAAAATTTGAGATTACCTTCTATTAAACCAGGACTCTAGTAGATTCTGGAATACTATTCAGTAATAAAAAGGGAACTGCTGATACTTGCAGTATGCTAAGTGAAAGAACCGATTCCATTCACACAGTTTTCTGGAAAAGACAAGAGCTTCAGGGGCAAAAAACAAATCAGAATGGATAGGAGAGGGGACGGATTATGCGAGAACACATGAGAACTTTGTGGAGTAATGGAAATACCTGTATCTCAATTGTGGTAGTAGTTACATGACCGAGTTTGTCAAAAGTAAACCTAAAAAGGGTGGTTTACTGCCCAAATTATGTCAGTATATCTGACTTTCTCCTTTTGTGGGCTATAGCTACCTCTTGGGGTGTGGAGCCGATGTAAAAATCTCAACACTACTACCTATTTCACCTGATTTTCAGTGTAGTTAGGGATGTGCACCTGAAGAAAGGTCATTTTTTAAACAGGGAAATAAGCATTTAAAGTAAGACAACATCAGATTACAAACTTAAGGTGCTGAGGTAAGGGTAATTCTCTCTGGAAAGTCAGTTTAAGAACTAGGAATTGTATAAAACATATTAGAGCAGATCAATGACACAGGTTTAATACATCTTTTCATACCACATTTTATATCATGGATAGTTACTTTTTAAGAGTTTTATGGTTACATTACAATTAATATATAATGAAACAAATTTCTAATTGTTACAGGTATGACAAAGAACCTAACACCCCCKCCTAGGCAGGGAACAGATAAAGAGCTTATAGACTGGCTACAACTGCAAGGAACAGATGCAAATACAATTGAAAAGGTAAATTTATAACCAAAAACTATTCCTATGATATTGCTAAAAGCTGCTTATTTCTTATATATTTGATCTTTGTTTCAGATTGTTGAAGAAAATTATACACTTTCTGATATTCTTAACAATATCACTAAGGAAGACTTACSATGCCTTAGACTACGGTAAGAGCTTCAAAACGGCTTATTAGAACCTTTTCTAATAAGTAGGCAATAGTACTGGTAACTTCCCCTCCTTGAAATTCATTCCCTTTCCAGTGTCTTTAAAAACATACTACCTCTTCTCCCTCCAAAATCTTGGCAGGTTTGGGCTGGGCATGAGGTACCAGTGCACTAGACCCAACCCCTCCCATGGTCTTGTTCCCATGTCATTTAAAATAGCCACCTCTACACCAATCCATCAGCGCTCCTRTGCAACTTCTAATACCAAGTCCTAGCAATGCTGGCACTCAAGGATTATATTCACACAGGAAGAGAATATTTTTTGGTTTTGTTCATTATCTAAATTAAAATGGGACTGCATTTTTAAGAGTAGATGGCCAATCTTAAAACAAAAACTAGAATTATCTTTTGCCATAAGTAGGCCTATCCTAGATTAGTTTTGGGGTTGTCAGTTGGAACTTTGCCTTTCTTATGGTAACTCCTTTGTTMCACAGTGGTGGTGTCCTCTGTCGGCTGTGGCACGCAGTCTCCCAGTACAGAAGGCAGGCTCAGGAGTCCTCAGCGACAGAGGACTAGGCTTAATCACACTCAGCTAAGC